GTAAACATAAACACTAGAGTAGTAGTCATGAAATATTCATGAAAAAGAATTAGAAGCGATTAATTACCAGCTTTCATCGATAAACGTTCAGCTTTATTTACAATTCTCATTGGAAAAACACATGAATGATACTATTAAAATGAATGTATACGTTTAATAAATTTTATTTATTTTTAACTAGGTTATCTATAATAACTCGTCCAACGCAGCCAGCAGAATAATAAAAATATTAAAATATATTTTTTAAAATTGAATACAAATAAATAAAATAAAATAATATTAAAAAATAATAATATTATTATTAATAATAATATTAATAACAGCAATAATGGTAAGAGCATAAGCTAAAGAAAGTTTATATAGTAGGCCATATAGACCATTATATGTTAGTATTACAATGGTTTGTGAATTTTATACTTTGTATAGTGTGGCTCTATTATTTTAATCATGTGACTGCAATACCTACAGTATAATCACATTTTTAAATTTATGAAATGAATCTTGGAACACGTAAAGATAGGAAACTGTTCTAATTTCATTAAAATTATATTGATTTTAAGGTAACCACTGGAGGGTGTGTAGATAATAAAAGGTAATAAGGTCTACTGAAGCATTGCATATTGGGATACAGAAGAGCAGACGACAGCATAATATGATATAAGGTTTATTGAAGACTGCATATTGGGAAGCAAAAGAGCAGACGACAGCATAATAATCTGTAGGGTCTACTAAAGACTGAATACTGTATTGGGAAGCAAAAGAGCAGACGACAGCATGCACATAGATTTAATAGCTCCACAGCTTGCTGCTATCTAACTTAAAGTAGGATTTGCAATGTAATGAATTATATAAAGTTGTCAAATTTATTATAGAAATGGTGCCATAATACATAGATGAGGATAAACATACAGTAATATAAACTAACCAATGACAACAAAGAATCCAGGATATTATACTATTATTCTATTCAGTGTTACTACAGTATTATATTTTCTACTCAGATTTGGCTCCTTGCAATGCTGTTTTTAAAGTTCTAATTCAGAAAATTTGAAAAATATATTTTGATTTTATAAGAATTCAAATTACAATAGATGAAAATTGCATTTCCACGAACCATGTTAAGAACGAGTGCAGATTCAAACAATGACATGAACGCCTGCATTACTGTAGCTATCTATCAAATCAGTGTGATTATGCATAACCATATTGTTACGTGTACAGTTGCAGATAAATTGCGTAGGTGTCAACATCTTGTGTGAAATTTGATAGACTCTGATCCCTAAGTGGTAAACTAATGTTTAATGTCCTTAATGGATTGTTATTGTTATTAAAGTCTATGGTACTAAAACACAGTAAATATTTGTCAATAATAAAAAAAAACAAAAACCAAATTAACTTCCAATGTGACAGAAAAGAACCCTGGGGCAACATGATTAGAAATGCAGCCAAATTTTAAGTTAGAAACCAATCTATACCAGAAAAAACGTACTTTATAGTAATACTATGTTTTGTATAGAGGTTAATACACCTCGCAGACTTTCATGTAAATCATCACGATCGAGGCGGTGCTCTGGAACGCTTCTCAAAATGATATAAGGGAGGCAAATATAGTGCTCCTTGAATTACCAGGGAACCAAAATAAATTAAACGTTCATAATCAAAGTATTAGATAAATCATATTTACGTTTGATAAAACAACTTTTATTTAGATGTACAGTATTACATCCGAGAAACATTTTTTTAAACCGACATTCAAAAGGAATTCCCAAAAAGGCAAGGCGAAACCTTTGACTACCCGGTGAAAATTTACCTTAACCAGTCCACCATCTCCTTTAAATAACGTCACCGATTTTGCTAAATTCTGAGGAGAGGCAATAGAGCTCATTGATACACAGAGGAGAGCTACCTATTTGTAGCTCTCATATGATTCCTTAAAATAAAGGTCTGACCTCCACTGGTGATAATAAAACTTAGATATAATCAATAATGTTCACTTTTGCAGTTGATATCCACAGCAAAAATGAACATTATTGATGAAATATTAATCAATAATGTTCATTTTTGCTGTGGATATCCGAACATTTATAACATTATTTAAGCGTCGCCTAAATGTAATAATTAGCACGTTGAAATAGGCTAGTAAATAAGTTTAACTGGGTTTGTAAATAATATTGTCCTCAAAATATTGTGGCTGAGACATGAGCCGATTAAACGTAGAAATAGGAAGAGACAGGAATAGTACTCCAGCGTCGCGACATGCCGACGTTGGTACGAGTAGGGTAGTCTACAAACGTCGCCTAAAGTAATTGATTTTACGCGGCAGAACGAAAGAAGGAAACTCCGCTTTTCAGTTGTCTCAGGCGATTGATTTTTGACAAACAATGACCTTTCAGAGGTCAAATAGCTGTCAAGAATATGAATTGGCTGCTTCGCAGCAATTAAAGCATGGTTTAATATTTATGCTCGAGGAGCGTGTAAATTCACAGAGCATGCTCATTATGATACATATTGCTGTGAATGTATTCTTCACTCTTGTAATCCTTGAAATAAAGCAAGTGAAGTAATACAAGCATGCTGGGAGATTTCCTGCTTGAGTCTTTAATTAAATTCAATCAATGGCTTTCATGCTACATCACAGCCAATCAGATATGGAGAGATTTCAGGATGATTGAATTTTCCAAAGGCATGTAGGAATGTACTCAGGATGTCAAAACAGGGGAGGAAGAATTGGGGAAATGTCCCAGGAAACCTCTCTGCCCACTAGATTTAACACCTACAGTACATGGATGGATATTGGATAAGAAAGATCAGGATATTTGTATTCAGGCATTAAAAAAATGAATGCTGGCTCAAGACTAATTTAAACTTGTGAGAATCTCCAGGGGCGCCTTGTGGCAGTTTTCACTATTAATTTATGTACTAACTAAGTAATGTTAGAAATCACTAGTCCTTTTAGTTAGTCTCAGGGATCTGTAGCACCTGCAACTTTTCATTTTGCTTTTGCTTGGTATTTTCTAAAGCAACCTGATCTCATTGACCTTAATGTCTCCCCAGGACATATCTATAATACATAAACTTCAAAACAAATCTAAGCTATAGTAATACAGTAAGTATTAAATAAAAAAAGTAAATAAATAAATAAAGCAAATGATACATGAAATAGTTTCAAAGCTACACTGAAATTAAGACAATATTAATATTTATTAGTAACATCTATTTAATTTTGAACTTTTAAAAATACAACATATATCCAAAAGATGGAGAGTGACAATTAGCCTCAAAACCGCCATGGCAACGAGAAAGGTAAGATCAGCTCCAGGCTGTAGTGGCATTTAGAGGATGGTTAATTAAGGTCAAAAGGAAGTGTTACTGACAATTACAAATCAAAGTACTGTAAGATACCACATTCAAAAACTAACATCACCATAATTACCTGATATACAGTAGCCTAAAAACCAGGTAATTCAAAATAATATTAATATTTATTAAAACTTATTAAATGAAATAATGATCGATTAATTTCCTGTAGTAATCAATGAGTTTATAGTAGTCTACAGCAATTAAAATAACTAGAATATAAATTTTATCAGATTAACCAAAATCAATTTAATAATCATAATCAGCCCATAAATTTAATGTCGGCAATTGGCAATTACCAACCATATTGCTGAGCCAGAATTTCCACAGGACGGCAATTTTTTGCTGACCTTGGCCTAGATTTCTTTGCTTAAAAAAACTACTTGGAAAGTCAAAACTTTGAATGAAACAGGCTATAGCATTTTAACTAAATTTAACATATGTCGTCAAACCAAGGAAATTGGTTGTTCGTATAACAGATTTGTTTGTGCAATAATCATTCTTAATAGGCATACGTATGATGTGTGCTTGTCTTTCTCGCCCAGCTATAAGCTAGGCCTAGTTGTTTCGTAGGCTAGGTGCAGTAGGAAGGAGCAAGGCCTAAAACATATCGCCCTATTGAAGCCAGGCGGGCTGTGATGCTTATCTAAATCTATTATTTGTCTTCATTATTATCTTCTTTATTATTACTATCATATTTGAAATGTTGTTTATTATCTAAAAACAACCAAATTAAACATATTGTAGGCCTAATCCTACTGTCTACAAACACGATAGCATCGTGACTTTACTAAGTCTGTCAAACAAGTACATGTGTGGAAAATCCCATATAGATCATTTTGAGCATGCGCATGAACATGCATGGACAGTTTTGAAGCACAGACAGCCTGTGTTGATACGATTATAGATTTATGAAAGTGATATTTCCCATGCTAAAGACAACGATAAAACAAACGCTAAGTTGACATTTTTTCAGCGATTTTCTTGCAAAACATACTATACTATTAAAATAATACAAGTACAACCATTCTTTCACCAACAATATACAGTATTGATTTAATAGGAATACTTAACAAAATCACGATCTGTAGATGACGTTGTAAAGTTGAGCGTTCAGAAAAATCGTAGTTTATACTATAGGCCTAGGTAGTAAAAAATTGCCGAGACTGCCGACCTCGGAGAATCTTTTTTCAAATCCTGTGAGCTGCATAATGCAACATACCAGCTTTACATTATTAGTATTATCCCCCTCCAACATCCCCCTCCCCCGGTAAGTGAAACAAACACCTACAGTAGAAGGAACACATCCTCAACTCCCTGGGGAATATAATTCCATAAGCGGGTAGAAGCATAGCTTAGTATCGTACCAGGTACCCACTTACACACCTGGATGGAGAGGGACAAACATAGATAAAGTGACTTGTACAACGACACATGCGACCTGCATCTGCGAGGATTTTGAACCCGACCTCAAGGTTGTCAAATAAATAAATGGAAATGAAATGAAATGAGAGCCCGAGCCACAACCGTTGGATAACTGCTTCTACTGTACATGAACTTCCAACTTGACATGAATATTAAAAAGAATTATTCAAATAAGATTTGATGCTACATTCAGACCTTTTATTTCAAAAAATTCTTACCCTAGAACTATGAGTTCCCCATACTTGATGCTGTTCAAATCTCCTATTGCACCGAAGTCTCCCCCCTGAGATGGAACTTTTGGGTTCTCTTTCCTGAAATAAGCAAAATAGAAATATTATATTATGATTACCGTATGTTTTGTAATAATACATCAACAACAGAATAATGATGGTGAGAATATATTATCTCAATAACTAGTACTCCCATGTTCTAATAAGAACATAAACATTTATAATTACAGTTCATGTGGAGTGTAACAAGCACCATAGCCCAACCCACTGAAGCACTGTATCATGGAATAACATCTTTAACATGAACATGTAGAGAAAATTAACATTTGTACATGAACATGTACTGAAGACATAGAGAAACCTAATATTTTTAACATGGACACGTACACAAACTTAACATTTTTAACGTACTGAACACGTAGATTAACCTTTTTACATGAACACATAAAGAAACCTAACATTTTTAATGTGAACACGTAGAGAAACCTAACGTAAGCACTAATGAGGCGGAGTATTGCGTCAAAACCTAGTAAGTTTACATTTAACAGACATAATGAATTAATTATGCCATCGGCTCGTTAAAGAACTGTACGGTAATTAATCATGGCATAGTTAATAAATTCTGTCATAACAGATGTACAAGAATTCATCACTTGAACATCTTCATCATTGTCTTGAGATGGGGAGATCGAATTGCAAGCGGGTGTGTACATACTGTAGCTAAAGCCCGGAGAAAAAATGTACTGTGTGTGGCTCTGTCCACGGAAATCATAATCAATGTTACTGTAACTGTGCACCCTACAGCTGATCATTTTTGAAAAAAAAAACACAAAACAAAAAAACAAAAACAAAGATGCATCTGGTGAAATGCACTACTGTATGGCATAGCAGGTCACAAAGGTATGTCTGTTTGTGTGTGTAATCACAAATCATTATTATTATTATTATTTACTGTATGAATGCAAAACCAAAATTAAAAGTCGCATGAGAGGGAATTCAATTTAAAGCAATTAGTTATTAAACTACATGGTTTAATCGTAAGAGATACACACAAATGGATTTTGTATTAAAATAATCAAATTCTATGTGAAGATAGTAAAGCTTAATTAAATAATTAGGGGTCATCCTATACTAAAAAGTTCAAGAGGTTACAGTCTAATGGTGCAATAAGTAAGGTCAATAATATGGAAACAGTTCCTTCTCCTGGGCATTGGGTTTCCTCTGGAATACCCTACCTATTGACATCTAGCAGATTACTTCTTTTTAAAGCCCTCTATAAACAATATTTTAAAATATAAATTGACAATTAAAACAATTACAGTGAACAAATGGAATTGTAATGTTATGTGGTCAAGATTTATAGTCTGTACTGTATTTTTATTATGCCTACCAAAAACAAGATTTATATTAAATTCTTCCTAAGATAGTTTAATACATACTTCAAGTATTGAAATACAGTACACGCCATTGTGTCGGGATTCAACGCCTTTTGAGCAATAAACCAGAATTTTCTCCACTGAATCCTTAGGATAAACATCGATATACAGCCCACGAATTTCACGTCGGCAATCGGCAAAATTGCCAACAATATTGATGAGCCAGAATTGCTACAGGACGGCAATTTTTTGCCGACCTAGGCCTACATTTCTTCGCTTGAAAAACTGCTTGGAAAGTCAAAAACTTTTACTGAAACAGGCTATAGCAGACATTAAATTTCATGTACGTCGTCAAACCAAGGAAATTGGTGGTTCATAAAACAGAGTTGTTTGTACAATAACTATTTCTAATAGGCATGCAGTATGTACAATTTGTGTACAATCGTCGTCTTTCAATCTCGCCAAGTCGTTTCGTAGGCTAGGCCTAGGAATGACGCTAGCCAGCCGAGGCCGAAACATCGCCCAATTGAAGCCACGTGGGCCGCGTACAGTAGATCGTAATGCTTATCTAAATCTATTATTTGTCTTCATTTTACAATATTATTATCACATTTAAAATGTTGTTTATTATCTAAAAACAACAAAATTCAACATATTGTAGGCCTAATCCTACTGTCCGTTTAAACGCAATCACGATCGCATCGTGACTTCACTACTGACAAGTACTGTACTGTACATGTGTGGAAAATCCCTGATAGATCATTCTGGGCATGCGCATGGACATGCATGGGCAGTTTTGAAGCAGCATGTGATGCTGTGATGATGATACGATCGTAGCTTTTACGAAAGTTCCCATGCCAAAGATAACGATAAAACGAACGCTAAAACGAAATTTATTCAGCGATTTTCTTATGCAAAACACACTATTAAATTAATACAAGTACGACCATTCTTTCACCAGCAATATATTGATTTAAGAGAAATTAACAAAATCACAATCTGTAGAAGACGATGTAAGGTCGAGTATTCGGAAAAATCGTAGTTTATACTATATAGGCCTACAGTAGGTAGTAAAAATTTAAGGTAATTTTTTCCTAATTTCATGGGCTGGATATAGGCCTACTAAATAACTGTTACTTCATATATAAGCCAATCTTGTCAATTTTGACCCTTAACCATGGGGACTTATTTTCCCTTGTTTTTTATGTACTTACAGTACAATATAGGATTCTAATACTGTACATACCATAACATCAACCATCAATTCTAAGTCATTATTCTATTCATGCTACATTCATCCAACAGAAAGCTCAATATTTTAAATAAAAAAAGGAATATTTGGTGATTAACATTACATCATGCAATACTATTGGGAACATTTTATTATTATTATTTTAGTATTTATATCATTTATACAGTGCCATTTCTTTGTAGATAAAAATGTTCGTGTTTTTGGTTAGTGTCCCCTGAAAAGGAGAACCCCTATTCAGGGGACACATTTTCTGGTCCCGAAGGTGTCCCTTTAATAGGGGTTCTACTACCAGATGGTATTTCTATTTTCTTTTCCATCTGGATGTTTTTGGCAAAATTACCGTATTTGCTAAATAAGAAACTTGATGGCTGGTGCTCTAAATTTCTTCAGATTATGGGTCATAAATTCCACACTGTGCCAGATTACAGCAAGCCTCATAGTATTTACAAAGTTTAATTGCATTTTACACTCATTTTTTTACAATAAATTATTAGACGGGTGATCAATCAATAAGGCTGATTATTTTGTATACTTAATGCACTATATCTCTTTAACAGGCTTTGGCGAGGGAGTTTGTTTTATTGGCCATTAGAAAAAGAAATTTGTCTTGCTAGGATTAAACACATAATCTCAAGATTGAAGAATAAACACTTGTCCACCAAACCATCTCTAGGTTTACAAATTAGCATCACTCCATGAAATAATAGAGTCTGTTTTGGACTTGTGAAATTATGAATCTTGAAAGAAAGAGCAAATGTTTTTATATGCTTCAATGACCCATGTACAGTATCAACAGTGTCACTTGCTTATTTTATACTGATAAAACTATCAAATCAAATTTATGGTATTGCCTTCTATCACCTAATACTCCGCTCTACTTTACAGTACAATAATTTCCATTATTTGGTAATATCCATATTCAACTATGAACGCACAAAAGCAGAATGATACTAAAATATTTCTATGAATTGGGTTATTCAATGTATGTGGTTATTCAATGAGTTTGTGGGTGAGTTTGTTGTGGAGGTGGGGATGAGTTTAATAGAGAGTAATTGATTTAAATTATGTATTTATAGACACAATAATTTGAATAAGAGATGAAATCATGGATATCAGATATATTTAAAAAAGTCACAGATTTTGAGCATCTTAGTGGTGTAATTACTGCAATGTTTTCAACAACAATGAGACTTAAAGCTGCTAATGCAGTAATTAAAAAAACCCCCAAATCACATTAAAACACTGAATTGCCCATGACTAAATCTAACAGCCCAAAATGCTGGATTAGAGACGTTATATCACTCAAAATTCTATTGATTATCAGCCAGTTTAAGGGTTTATCAAAGAATATACTTAAAGGTATTGAATAAATTCTCTGATTGGTGACAAAAACAATTAATTTCTATGTCAGTAAAATCAATAAATAAAATCAATATTTAAAATATTTATCTTTAAAGTTTATCATCTCAACATGAACATACACTAATGTATCTTTGTTTTTTAAACTATAAGACAAATGGATATATAAATAAATAATAGTATTAACTTACATGAATGGCATCCTCTTATTCCTGGTATTCTTCCATTAATCCGTATATCCTGGAAGAGAAATCCATACTGCATTTTACTACAATAATTTAAATCCCTTGATTATGGATGTACTATAGTCTTCTAATAACTGGAGTGCTCATAAAAAAATTCAATCACTTAGGAAACATAATAAAAATTGAGATTGAATATAGTACAACTGTATGATAAAAAAATAAATTAGCACTTGACAACTCTTGTAATACAGTAATCAAGACCAAAAGTAAATTTGTAGCAATGTACTAATGGTTAAATCACATTTTTTTTCTTTCTAGTTATCAGAACAAATTTTCTGCCAACTGGGGGAGTGCGGCCAAACTCCTGGGGAAGTGCGGCCAAACTCCTGGGGAAGTGCGGCCAAACCCCTGCACGCCCAGCCTATTCCCCTGCAGTAGAACCACTAATTATAATACACTAATTGTTATTGCAATGTATTTACCTGGACTGATGCCACAGTACAGGAACGTAGGGTGGTTTTGGTCTTGGGGGCAGGGGCAATTGTGAAAACTGTGAATATGGAACTAAATAAATAAATCCCTTTTTTATTTTTACCCAATTTTTTGAACTAATTTGCTGCCATTTGGCGGGGGGGGGGGGGGTGTCCTATCTCTTACACGCCCAGCCTACGCCCCTCATTTGTTAGACTACGCAAATCAATGGTGATGTTGGTAGTCTAAGATGAGTGGGACTGCTAGTGCTTGGTGCCAGGAGCTGACTGTTCTCTTATTTTTCGAGGGGTGTTCTCTTGTGGGAGAGAATCAGCAATTAGTCAGTTTATCCAGGTAAGTACTGTATTTACAAAGTAGACAGAAAAATTAAAAATCTAGAGACATTACATGAAAAACTTGTATTAAATACAAAGCCTCTATTAATCAAAAAGGAAACATTTTAGCAGTAATGGTGCCAGGTGGTGGGGGGAGGGGCAAAGTTGTCCAACAGGAGAGGTCCTAGACTAAAAATATCAATTTGCTGAAGTATCATCACAAAAGGAATTTTAGAATGGAATCCAGACCAGGAGGCTCTAGTAGGCTTTTTGGTTTAGAACCCTATAGACTACTTTACCAGTTAACACCACTGGTTGTGTTGCAATGTAAAACTACAGTATGCCCTGTGACTTTCAGAAATCAAATACGAACAGGTTTATCTATTTTAAATGATGATAAACACATGAATATTCATTAGTCTTTTAATAATGGGAGTAGCCAGTGAAAATGTTTACTAATTTAGACTTATACAGTACACAGCTCACATTTGAATAAAAATTAGGAGAAAAAAAAAACATGTTTCCTAATGAGTTGTTATATTTATGCGTAGCGCCACACGAGGGCCGGAGGCTTGAGCGTGGTGTCAGGGAACAACAAGGACCCCTGGTGGAGCCCATGAGCGAAGCACTGGTGGGGGGTCCTGCAAAATGCAAAAACATGGTTTTTGTTTATATAGGGCCTACACTTTGTCATGTTTTATTTGTTTAAATTATAAAGTGATGATGATAATAATAATAATAATAACAATAATAATAACAATAATAATAACAATAATAATAATAGTGTAGTTTTATATAACGCACATATCCATCTAACGTAAGATGCTCAGGGTGTTTGATATGTGGACTAGGAACTCGATCAATGACTTTCTTCACCCCAAAGGGGCCCTTCGTGCCTGTGTTACCCGGTAACCTGGTACCAGCAACTATCATTGTCTACCACATGAGCTGTCAGCGAAGTCCATCAATTGACTAGGGGCGGATTGCTATAAAAAGCGGTCTTTAGATGGTCATAAGGCTTAGCCGGCTATAATCGTGACGTCACTACTTAAATTTTAAAGCCTACTCGGAGGAGTTTTTAAAAGGTCTTAAATCATTTTCATCATGGCGTTACGGGTACTAGACCCTACGTCTGGTTCATCAAAGACCGAGAATCGAACGACAAATGTTCTGCAAGCTTCTCAGCATCTGTAAAACACGATGTACATTTATTTACATTCATTTAGATAAGTGTGCATGTGTCAAGCAAGCGTGACATATGTGTAACTGTGCCCTCAATTTTATGTTACCAGGAAGTGCTTGTTTGCGTTTCAATACTCAAAAAGTGGTCTTTAGCGAAGACCATTTTAATGCAAGCAATGTCCTTAGCGGAGTGACTAGTAAGACTGTATTTATATTTTAGCCGGCTTTATTCAAGGAGTTTAGACTACTGTACAAGAATACTGTACTACCGTTTTATAGCAATCCGCCCCAGTTGTACATTAAGTACCCACTGTAAAATAAGGCCTGTGCAGAGAATACCATCTCTGCAAAAATTAGGCATTGAAATCCATCTGCACATATATATTTTTAAGTCCAACTGGCCGACGAGCTCTGTCTGATAGAGGATGGCTTGACCTGTCCGGTGGGGGGGGGACTTGAGCCCCTGCTCCCCCCCCCCCACACTGGTTATGCAGTAGTCACAATTCTCCGCACATATTTTCCAAAGGATTTTCCATGGAAATAAAAACTTAGTGGTACAGTAATGCAACCACAATCAACAAAATTCAACTGAACCAGATGGTCTGGTTGGTTGAACAATGAATGAACGGCAGCCGCTGATGATGGTGTTCGCATTAACCAGTTTCATTTTAACTTTTAACAAAATGTTGTTAAAGTAATAATAATACCAAAAAAAAGAGACCACGTCCTAGGCCTATTCATCCATTGTTGTTAATAATATACCAAAAAGAGACAACGTCCTAGTCATCCGTTACCTTCATACTCACATAAAAATGCATATAATTCTAGCGCTATATAAAGAAAATCAACTTAGGGCCTAATTAATTATAATATTCTAAGCTAGGCCTCCGTTCGATCCCTCCTCATTTTCCCTGATCGTCAATCAAGAAGCCGTACAGTGTGATGGTCGCAGTGCAGTAGTGTCTATGGATAGCTGGTCTCTCCAAAAATAGAGAATTCAAAAGGAAGCATCGCAACATTGGAAAGCACATTTCCGCATTTAAAAGCAAAGTATGAATTCCTCACCTTATTCAATCAATTAAGTATTGTTTGGCAAGAATTCTAGAACATTCTCTTCCGTAGTACGAAAATAATTGAACTCTCGTTCTCACAACCGACGACTTACGTTTTTCTCTCGCTGTGTTGTGTTTTTTACAAGGATGTAAAATTCGAGGTCGTGTATATACCGGAAGTACGGAGAAAGACAAAGCGTTGCCAGAATGTAAGCCAGCACTTAGTGGTGGGGTGGTGCAGATGGTATTCGGATGGGAGGTGCATGAAAACGTTAAAAAATCCCCTTGAAATATTATTACATATACTACAAGTCATAATACAAAATGCATTACTGGCTATATATTTATTTTGTTTTACAGAACTTCAAAAGAAAAATGTAGAACGTGACAAACATCATGTCATGGAAGAAAAATAACGGGACCAGCTCTCCAGGGATAGGAGACCTACATATTCTACTCTGATACATTAAAGTTGAAGTGTACGGTCGAAATAAAAAATAAATAAAGCAATACCAGCAGATGCAATTCAGCCTCTGTATAATAAAAAAAAACAAAAAACAAAAAAAAAAAACGAATTTAGCTTTAAAGTCAAATAAAAAAAATACCCTCGAGTTTATATTTGCATAAAAGGTAGGCCAAATTAATTTAAAGAATCATTGTAATTGTAAGGTTAAGGTTACTGTAATGTGTGAATCAGAAAAAAAAAATACTACACTAACACCTAGTTTGTCAAATTAATAGAGAAAATTAAATATGATTATATCATTATTATCATCATCATCATATTATATCATCATCTTCTTCTGAGTATCATCTTTATTTATTTATTATTATTTATTATTATTATTATTATTATTATTATTATTATTATTATTATTATTATTATTATTAATTTTAAATTATTATTCAGTTTTACTTTGTTATGTTGGTTCAACCTAACACCAGGTCTCCCAGTCCATTAGCTAGAGGGTTATAGAAGTTAAATTGTTGTTGTTATTATTATTATTATTATTATTATTATTATTATTATTATTATTATTATTATTATTATTATTATTATTATTATTGTTATTATTATTATTATTATTATTGTTGTTATTATTATTATTATTATCATCATCATTATTATCATTACTGTTATTATTATTATTATTATCATTATTATTATTATTATTATTATTATTATTATTATTATTATTATTATTATTATTGTAGTTGTTGTAGTTGTACAGTAATTGCAATAGTATACCAAAAATCAGGAGTGACAACCAACAAAAATTGAGTAGCGCCATCAGGCGGTAGAAAACTCCGACGATGAATTTACTTTGAAGAGTAAGGAAGATTTGTCCAATGCACTGGAAACACATACTTTCTATACAAAGTGCGAAAACATTGTTTAATTTTTTAAAAATATAGCTAGAGGTTAATATAATTAATTTGTAGCACGCAAATAATCCTCATACCAACATTTCACATTATTATACATAATCATCATATGAGTAGGCTATCCACGTTTAAGTAGGCCTACCTATCACACTGTGATAAAACAAAAAAAAATAAAAAAACTAATATAGAATGAATATAAAATACAATGGAATCAAGATAGTTCATTAAAAAGTTGTAGCCACCGTGTATTTATTCAAACCCAGGACAGACAACAACACATACGACGCAAACACATGCGTTTGTGGGGCACGTGCGCTTATTTCTTGCACTGTTCTGATAGGTCAGTTTTGATTGGCATTCTAGAAAGTTCCATGAATGTAAATTAGACATTGTGCATGTGACGGTCTCAATTTACTGGCGAAAAGTTTAGATCTTTTGTATATTATTAATGATTTATTACAATATAAACGCAAATTTTGCAATTTAGAGAACGTCACAGAGCAACGTTTACTTGCTTATATCGACGATTTTTATGAATTTATCCTATATTGATAAATTACTATCGACATGGAAATCGCTAAGCGTTATTTTTAAACTTGTTTTATTAGCGGACTGGTATGTCGAAACAGAAGCAAATCATAATGACAGATAGGAGAATTCTGAATATGGGCATATTTTTCAAGAATTTCCTCACGTTACGATACGATATTATAATGTATTGGTGTTTAGGTCTACACAACATAAATAAAGTTGAGATATTGATATAATAAGAAAAAATGGGAAAAAAATATATTGATGAAGATTTTGTATTTGTTCATCAGCCAGAAGATTAAGTGCAAACTCCCACCCTCCGCAGTGGCGATTGATCGTCACAGATGTCACCAACAGTCTTAATAGGCCTATTCATATTTGGCCTACTTTGATAATTAAATAAATTTTTTAAACCAATGCAGTATGTAGGCCTAGAGTTACAATAAGTATTTTCAGCCGTTCCTGTATGGCAGCACCACCTCAAAAACAAAATGGGCTTTAAATATCTATAGGCCTAGTTTAGGATTGTAAAGCGGGACATTTGCATATATCACTATACAGGTATCTCCTTTTAGGAGGCCAGCCTCAGTTGTAATTAAATGCAATTTTTATTGGTGATTGTATCAAATTACAAACAATAGTTTTAAAACAATTTGTCTGAACGAAATTATTAAAATGAATTGTTTCTTTGAAACTGTTGAAATCTTCATTAATTTTGTTATTATTACATTTCTCTGTTATATTTAAAAAATTAGAAAAACAAAAAGTAAAGAACTATATTTTATACACTTAATGTGAATAACGGGAAGTAAAGGATTTATTTCGAAAATATGATTTATTTATAATAAATAAGACAAGTGGTGACGACTTTCATCATGCAACTCCCTTCAATGGATCCTTTCGATGAGCTGTTCACATTTCCCATATTACTTTGCCAAAATGGCGGGTATTGAGGTCGAAGTCTGCTTCAGGTCACTTTATGTTGTGCGTTTGTAAACGTTTCGCTCTTGAGATGAATGATTCTGTTTAGGTTTGCCAAGTTAATGAAGAAGTCATGGCTACATGTGATTCATGTGCCGATCTTTATCGTTTACTGCAATCATGTAAGTTTCTCAGATTATGCCAATCGTTTGTAGGCCCATCATTTTTATGAATGGGTTTGCGTGGCGTGCCTGACTGCTTGCCCACCGGTCCATACATAGTAGACCATGTAGCATAGCCTAGATAGGGCCTTGGCCTAGCCTCGTTTTCCGCTTTTTCAGTACAGTACCATTTTACAGTATTTATTAGGAATAAAACCTGTTCCTTCGGTTTTAAATGTATTTAGTGCGACTCTTTATATAGGCCTACCTAATGTCTAGCCTAGTAAATATTTTTTGTTCAGGTTAATATTCATTTTTATTATGAATATTATTATTGACTCTAACTAACAATCAGAACCTGGCCTAGGTAGGTGTATATGTAATACTATGTTGGCTATAGTAGGCCTAGGTCAAGGCTTAAAAATTAATGTATCTCATTAAAAAAAACAAGGCAGTGCACCATCTTAGTTTTAGTTGGCCAGCTAGTATAAAGCCTAGGGCCTACAGTAGGGAATGAAAGTTGTAGATGCGTCCATCGCCTACATGCCTAAAAAGCTACCTCATGAAAATTTTCATTATTTTGAAAAATTCGTTATTTTGATAAAAAAATGATATTTTTTAAAGCAGACTTTATAAGTCGTACACAAACAGAAAAAAGATCTAGGCCCTATTCCATTACATCTGATCACTTATCGCGAACACCGCAAAGGCAGGACATCGCACCATGATCGCCGATCGCTGCTGAGGTTATTTCCAGGTCAAATCAAACTGGCTGAATAAACTGTGAGCGGTGGTACTCTTGATTGCCGCGCGGATGGAGGAAAATTGCTCTCATGGACGTTCCACTATATCGTGAACTGTTCTCTGTCTTCTTCTATTTATTATCTTTGATTCTATTCAATAATTTTTTATCTCTGTTTACATAATAAAAGAGTAGATTAGTTTACAGTGTTTCAAAAGGCCAAACTATAAATAAATTTTCTAACATTACAGCCACTAAAAGATCTGTCTTAGTGTACATTTATGATTGATTGTAGGCCTAGGCCCTATGCATTGTGTTCCCTGGGTATAATGTAAAATTGCTGATGCTGCGGCTTGTGCACAGCATTTATAAAAATAATGAATAAGGGAAAAATGCCTCGTGTTTTCAATAATTTTTGGACGCAAATCTACCATTTCCATTCCTGTGGCCTAAATAAGAAGAGTCACATCTGATGGAATTGAACCATGGCCATAGATCTGAAAGGATATCCGCAGTTGAGCGCACACACACACTGTATATTTCCTGCACAGTCCCCATAATGTACTGTGAAGTTTTTTAATTGCGTGAATGATACCTCAAAAATTAGGTCAAATTTTTGCGCAAAATCACTGGGAAAATAGGTGCGCAGAATCGTAACTACTGCATAATAATTGGTTATATATTAAGATTAGATCAAAGCTTAATTTTAAGCAAATTTTGCGCGGAAATTGCCCTTATATTCTGAAATGCGCGGACGGATTTCTAGGCCAAATTTTTGTGAGGAGGATATATTCCCTGCGCAGGCCTAATTTATAGTCTCGCACAGTCAATACTTTTTAATCTGGAATATTCTATGTAACTATTTTTGTCTGTTGTTTGTTCCTTATCATGTTTCTTATAAATTGTCCACCTTTTATCAAAGTAAGAGCTTATCATTCCACTTGCTAAACTATTGCGCAATTTTGTGGTTTTTCAATTTCTGAGAAATTTTATCTCAAGATAATATTTTAATATATAATAACTCTATGATTATGAATCATTTTTCGTGCACAAATTTCAGCATAAGATCTAAATATGATAATTTGTTGTATCCGATTAAGTAACTTCAAGATATAGGATACATTTTTTAAATTATTATCCAAAGTGGACAGGAATTCTTAAACTTGATGCAGGTCCAAAAAAAAAAAAAAAAAAATGACGTACCTATATCAATGAAGTACATTATAGGTTTATAAAGTAGTTTATTAAGTCTTAAAACATGAACACACAATGACAGCTACAGTACATAAAGTAAAATAGGGATAGTGCAGTAAAGTCTGATATCACTTAAAGTCATCTATGCCTGCAAAAATGTTCCTGTCATCTTTTGGATGTAACGGGTAACAGAATTTTACGGTAGAAGGAGAAACTATGCCTGTTAACCCGCTCTGCAAATTTTAGTTCTCTTGCAATGACTATAGAGGTTTAGTGCTGTGGAGACGCATTACCTGAGATTTGAGTAAAAGATATGAATGAATTCTAAATTATACTAAAATTAAGAGGATGCCTAAACCAGTGCTTATCCAATTTACTTTTAAAAACATTGATGGACTACACAGTTATGATTTCAGCAGGTAAACATTTCATCCGTAATTTAAACCATTTGAAACTAAATATATTTCATAACTACTGTATCTTACTAAATTCCATTAAAAGTATCTTATAAATTGGTCTGTCTTTGTAATTGTAATTTTACAATAATGGTTTGTCTTATAAGCAATTTTTGTAAGTTCAGTGTTGAAATGTACACAAGGCAAGTGTGATTACTAGTACGCATTTTTGAATCACTCGCTGTGTAAATACCGCTTGAAATACTTTTCATTAGGGTGCCCTTCAGCTTTGGTGACTAATTTGGTGTTTTGTGAAGTAGCATGTAAATTGAAGTGATCATTGCATTTCCCCATGATAATTGCATTCTGAAAAAAATGAACATCCAATTAAATTAAAATAATATTCTTTTTTTGCAGATACTGTAAAGTGTGCATCAGGAGAGCAATTTGATGTTAGAAAAAAGGATGTCAGCGTGTTACTAGAGTTCACACAGCCACAGAGGTAGAGTTTCATGTTGTTTTGTACATTTTTTTTTTTTTTGCATCCCAATACTGCTGGCAGTCTTACTAACAAAAGGCATATCACAGCAGTCACATGTTGCTTACTTTTATTCTTTACATGAATATTATGAGTTTTTAATGTAATTTGTATCAGGTGCTGTTTTTGCTGAGGAAGTACAGTAGGTACCCCTATCACTTTTAATTCATTGTTGTACAAAGTTTTATGTATTTTAATGCATGATTTTTTACTTCTCTTACTTCCAATTTCAGCAACAAATAACACAATATCATAACATGCACATGTTGCTTACTTGCATATTATTTTATTGCATTCTTTACACAAATTATATGAAATGTAATTTGTAACTGACGTGCTAGTTTTTCACAAAGAAAGTAGTTAGATATAAAAAGAAATCTATAGTTTTAAACTTATTATCTTGTAATCCTAACTTTACCATTTAGTAATTTGTTATATTTCAAATATTTTGTAAAGAAATAAGAGCTGGATGTTAGCTCATGCACTGCTGTCTTTCCAATATTGGATGCTATTTTTGATAATAAGTAAAATAAATTGTTATTATTGTTGATTCAACAAAAGGTAATAAATAAAAAATCACAAGATAGTTAAATTGTTATAATGAAAGACCTCCACAAGTGATATAAATATTTTTGGAAACATATATCAAGACCCATGCTATTTAATATTACTGTTAGTTGGATTTTTGAAATAAACCAAGTATTAGACATGAAAATCCTGACACTAATTTCCAATTGTTTCTTCTGGTGATGACTTTGGTATTTCACTGGGGCAGTGGGAGACAAAATCTTCATCTTCGAAAAAGTGTACTTTGTTCTTTATTACTCACATTTGCCATATTGCACCAGGACTAACTGCTTACAGTACACATCACTTTCGAATGATGTGCTGTAAACTATATTTACAATTCAGCTGAAGCTGAAGTACAGCGAGGAATTAAATAAGTTATAAACTCTTTTTCTTACAGGCAATGCAATTGTTGTTTTAAGGATTTAAAAAATTTTGAAAGGTTAAACAACATAGTTCAACTTCTACTACGATTCGCAATCAACTCAATACCCAGTTTTCGCCTATTAACGCAAGATGAAAGAGCGTCCAGCTCCGAGAAAGAATCCTCAGAAAGAGAATCGAATGTGTCAGTTCATAAGGAAAATGAAGTCACAAATGTAAGCGCCGGTGAAAAGCTAACAGAAGAGAGGGAAGACACAGGAAAAGTAAAGGAGGATGATGGGAAACATGAGGTGGAAATTACCTGTCCAACAAATTCTGAAACAATAGAGACTGAAGGTACTGTAGATATTAAACAAGATGAAGTTAGTGATGATGTAATACAAGAGAAGATGTCCTCCGAGGAAGCGATGATGAGGGATGCTGAGGAAGATGCCGAAGAAGAGATGGAAGTGGAAGTGGAGATTTGGGGAATAAAGGACTATGAAAAGTTACTACATCTTGTTGCCAAGGTTTTTCAAATGAACTTTGCCCTATATGCAGCACACAAACACATGTGTCACGGAATAACAGAAGTAAGTAAAATAATAGTTTTCAGGCAAAAATCATCTACTGTATATATTTGAAATTTATAAAAAAAATGTAATAAAAAGAAAACTCATTATGAGGTTTAGGACATAATGGTTAAGATGACCACTTTTCAATTTTATTGCCCTGGATTCTTGCATATTTCACTTGTGTCCTTGAGCAAGGCATTTTATTTGCATTGCTTCTCTCCACCCAGGAGATAAATATGTACCTGGTAGGGTGAAATGCCAAAATGTGCTGATGTAGCTGCTGCAACGTTATTGAATACTCCCCAGGGAGCTGGAGCTTGTGTTCTATAGGTGTTTAATCCAATGGCCGGGGTAATGTGAAGCGCATAGAGGGCTTAACAATATATATGCAAACCTTCAATATTTCTTGAAGGTTTGCATGGCGAGTATCAATAAACATATAACAAACGTTCGGTAAACCATGTGTAAATAAAATAAAAGAATATGGTTTTTATTAAGGTAAAAACCACTGGTTGGTTGTCTCGACGTTTCAATAAGATTGCTCTGACCGATAAAAACCATATTCTTTTATTTTATTTACACATGGTGTACCGAAAGTTTGTTATATGTTTAATGCTACCATTATTATTATTATGGCTTATTGAGGTACGATTGATTTCTGTTGTCAAATTACACAAGTTAATTTGTAGCATGCTACAAAACGAACATTCAGATTGCTGGAAAAACATTATTTTTCCAAGCTAAGTTATAATGTTTTAAAGGCATTTCATTTTCCAAGTATCTCCAAGTTTCAGTGCATACACAGTGGAATTATCAGTTTACTGTAACTGAATGATTTAAGCTACAGTATACTTGCTGATGTACAGTAATGTTTGATTCAATTCTTTGTATTCAGGGATGTTGTATGTAGTAATATTACTACTTAGTTTTCTACAGCTACAACCCTGGTATACAGTACCATTCCATCTCCCTTTCTCAACCACTAGGCTATTCACATTTATTGATATTTTAACATCTTCATATTTTAGTATTTGGACCACAAGGGAAATAAGTTTGCCTTTTTTAGTACTTTATTGTGTTTTTATCCATGAATATTGTTTTTTTAATCAGAATAATAAAGAAATAACAAAACTTATTTATACTTCAGGAATTATCATCTCAAGAGTCCGAGGCTTTAGGAAACTATTGTGAAATGAATGTAAGTCAAAAATTTTATATTTTTTATTTTTTGCTTTTGGTTCTGGCAGCTTTATGACTCTTCCTTCTCTTTACTTTATTTAGTACCGCTACAAAGGAATAAATTGTTCTGTAAAGGAAAGGTTCCTGTCTCTTATACACATCTAGATGTGTATAAGAGACAGATACCCAGTTTTCGCCTCAGCACCCAGACGGAGACCTTTGACTCCTCATCTGGGGCTGCTAATGAATAATGATAATATTAATAAGACATTTTATGTAGGCTCATTATCTATCAATAATGTGTACTACAGTACATTTAGTCTCCAAATGTCTGAAACATTTGCTACAGTGTATATTTAATGCACACTGACATATTAATACATTCTTTATGCATACATATTTCCAAGCTCAGAAAATGTCACATCAGATAATCCTTTAAATGTGATTAACTAAAAAAAAATTAGCTGAGTAAAGGTATAGCATTATACTGTCTCCTGAAATGATTATGGAAACTGGACCAAATGAAAAAAAATAACTGCCTGCGTCCTTGATATGAAGAGACAGGAAATAAATACTATTTTCATGTCTGATTTGGTTGGGTAAAATCAAATTGGTTCTGAATTTGGTATCATGATGTATAAATAGTTTAGATGGATTTTTACTGTCATCAATGAATCAGGAAAAACTGTCCCCTTGAAAATTTGCAATGACCTACTGAACTGAGTTTTTTTTTAGCTTGTTTTATAGATTCTGGTTTAACAGTACCAGCAAAATATCAGATCAAATCAAGTTCTATTATAAGAACCTTCAATCATTTTAGTTTGTGGTTTCATGGTTAAGTGCTTGCCTTGTATTCCCAAGGTTATGGGTTAATCCTGGCAGAAGATTTTTCTCACAACCAAAAAAAAAAAAACTTCCTGCCTATTAGAGACGTGGTTATTGAATTGAGCATCAAAGTTTCAGTGTTGTCAGCTTTGAACTTATCATAATCATGGTGTAGAAGATGAACACTAAAAAGTGCATGTTGTATGAAAAGAAGGCCAAATATAATGAAAAACAGCTTTATTTTGGGGGTTTTATGATATGAGAAGAGAAAAAGCAGCTGTGGTAACAAACAGGCCAAATGTTATTTTATATGGAAACACTGTTACACGTGGGTGGCAGGTTTAAAGAACAAAGTACAAAAAAGTCTCTAAAATGTCTCTAAAAAGTCTCTATCAATGTACGTTAGCTGATTTAGGCACACACAAATACTTCTTGCTTACAAAGATATCTGGGTTAATATGCAAGAATTTCAACCTGCTTTGACATTTGAACATGTAGTCCAAATCAATGATGATCGATGTCCAAATTTATGTTTGATCTGTACCCCAAATAAATGATTAGAAGGGACTTAATTAAGTTTGGATGTAACCCAAATAACTAATGAGGGAGGGACCAAAATCATGTTGGATATTTGCCCCAAATAAGTGATGAGGAAGGGACCAGATTCATGTTTTTAAAATTTAGCAGCACAACCTCCTCTTATTGACTATCCATACTAATTATCAGTTTACTCTGGGCAGCATACTGTCAACATTTCATACCCATAAGTTCAGGCAAATCACAGTATTTATCAATAAAACAACTGGGAGTTACGGACACTACTGTTGGCCGGGTTCTCTCCACAGCATTGTTAAATATACCACCAGTACCTGAGGCAACTTAATTGTCTCAGGCAGTACCCAGGTCCTTGTGATTGGTTCCTTTGTTTAAAGACTAAACAAAGGCTTACCGTTTGTTCCATTTTTTTCTTTGCTTTAACCTTGCATGGCTTTAGCCTTTGTTTAGTTAAATTCTATGTGAAAAAAAATAATGTGATTAACAGTTCAATAATCCAATGTTAAACTGAAGAAATATTGTTGTATTTTAGATTCATTTCGACACTTACATTACATTTTCACAAACAGTGCTTTGAGGCCATTTTTTGCATTAGGCGCTTTATAAAATTATTATTATTATCATTATTATTATTATTATTTCTATTATTATCATTATTATTTTTGTTATTATTATTGTTATTAAATGATGTACCAAATTTAAAGGGTAGATATTTGTTAGACTGGAATTAATGGATTCTAAACTTAATTTGAGATTTCATCCTTCATTTGGTGAAATTGGATTTTTGTCATTTTCAATTTGGTTCATTATTTACTCCCACATATTTAGATGTGTTGTTCACACATTGTTTTCTTCCACCCACATGTTTTGTACATAAATTGTAAACATCACCCACAGTTGACATCAAAAACATATACACTCATATCTCTCCACAACACACATTCCCACATACCTGTACAAAAATATTCAAGCTTTAGAAAGTCAACACTATTTATATTCTTTTATTACTTACTGTAAGCTTACAACTTCCTACAGGTTAAATCTAAGTAAGGCAAATCATTCTATAACATGTTTTGAGAACCCACTGCCCATTGATAATGAATAGTCAAAGTAGATTTTTTGGCCTGTTGTTAGCACACCCGTCAGCATGAAAAATTATAAATTTCAGAAAAAAATTAATTTCTTTATTTGTATCATGACTGCCCCGTCATGATGTCTCTGGGTAAAAGTTTTTTTTCTTTATTTTCAATAATTTTAATCAGTATAAAAATTCATCTATTTCTTACTGACCTTCAACAGGATGGCAAGTAAGCTTGAGTTTTATATAACTAACTACAGTATTGATGACAAACATGGATTTGTATGTTACATTGTTGCCAACTTGGACATTGATTGATAGGCCTAACAGATGGACTGCTGTATGCCCCTTGCATGCCCTTTCAGTCCAAGGTTTTCTCTACATCTGGCAGTTCCATGTCGCCAATGCGCAGTTTCATGCAGGTAATCAGCAACGTAGCTAGCTAGCATGCATGCAGCATTCAGGCCATCGGTCGGAGCCAGATATTTGTCGAATGGAATCCAACGAGTCTGACTGGTGGTCAGCACCAGAGGCAGACCAGGATCTCTAGCCATGGCCCCAAATTAAACACTTCGTGTGGGGTTTACAGAGGGTATTAAAATTTAATTGGTTTAGGATAGTAAAAATTATTTTTTTAGACCACAATATTAAGAGGAGCCGTCAAAATTTGGATTTGATTTACCAGTATTTTGTGTGATACTGATATCAAGGCAATTAAACAGAAGGACGCACATCTTGGGAAATCAAAGGTTATAACCCTGGCATCGACATTCTAGGCACATGTGCGTCCCTATACACTGAACATCACAAAAACCATAGCAACCAGACCATAAGCCGTCAGCGTACGTGAGGATTTACCCACGCGCATGTTAGTTGTCATGATAATTGCACGTCGTGTGGTGATTACAAAGGCCTAATTATATTTTGCACTAATATTAGACTGAAATTATATTCTTCATTTTAACATTAATTTTACCGATGTGGTGTAGTGTCGTTCATGAGACTCACTTCGCAGAAAAAATTAATAAATTTTCTGTATCTACTCAAATGTTCGTTTTGTGCACCTTAGTCCAACATTGTCAAAATGACAGTTTAAATTATATAAAATTCGTAAATTTTCAATTGCTATAACTTTCATTTTCTTGGTCAATTTTCACAAATCAAACTGCAGTTTATAGAAACATTTAACAACTCGCGGTCAAAAGAAATCAGATGTAACAGACATTTCGAAGTACCCAAAATTAATAAAATAGTAACTAACACCATAAAATATAGTATAGTATCAGATTGTCGATGCCACAGTAAAGATCAAAGGACTTTACGCACACGCTATGTTCGAGAGCGGAGATGTGTGTCCTTCTGTTGAATTACCTTGCTAATATGCACACCCTAAGGATAGCTTGCGATGGTCAGGAAACAATATATAACTGCTGTAGTTGGGATCCTCATTTTGGTGGATGGCCAGTAAACTAGGTGACAATACCCTGCTGTTTACCGAAGAATATGTTCTTTAACATGCGTGTAGGATTAGTGGCCTAATTTTCTCAATTGTCCAAGGAAAATCTGACATTGAGCCTTTTTTTTGGAGGGTGCAGACTGAAATTTTAAGGCGATTGCACCTAAAAAAATAGCTAGGAAGGGCATTCTCAAAATTTTTATCCCAAAATTTTTTTTAAAATTTCTAAAAATGTGTGGGGACCCCGGGGTGTCTTCGCCACCCTTGAAACCGCCCCTGATTTGTATACTTGGAAGTATGCAGATAAACATTCATGCATTATGATGTGCAGTAGTATACATCCTAAAATTGAATTCCACTAAAAGTAATATATTTATCATACTGTACAATATAAAGATACCGATATGATGTGTGCCCATGCCTACACACATGCATGCAATTATGCTACCAACCATACATAAACATGTACTATAAATTCAGAATGTCTGCAGAGCATTTAGTTTATGCAGTAAATGCACGTACATAGGGCTCCAGTGAATTCAGTCTTCAATTCAATTTGTGCCGAACTCCATTCACAATTTTCTTTCAAGTGTGTGTGAGATTATATACAACAAACATGACATACTATCTTAGGCACCCTTTAAAATAAGTTAAACTATAATTTAGTGCATTGTATGCTTTTGATATGGATAATATCATGGATTTTAGGTCTACTACTGTTTGAAGTGTGTTTTTAACACTCTGCCAGCCAAACATGGAGATCTCCATGTTTGGTAACACAACGCTTGACCGCCAAACACGGAGATCTCCATGTTTCAGGTTTTTTTACGGAATCCAATAGATGGGGTAATTACCGACATGTACTAATAATTTGAACACTATATTCAGTCTGGACTGTAAAGTATTTCACTATTTGTTTGTTTACATTGAGCGTAGCAATATTGATGTACTGTACTTTCACAAAATTGCGATTATCTCAGCTTCGTTGTGCAAAATTGCGTAAATCTTCAAAAGTAAGTCATTTTTATTTTACTGTTACAGGTCACAGATTGTGATAGAATAAAGTGTTTGGTACCATTGTAAAGCTAAGATGTTTGTAGTTCTTGTAGTATTCATATGTGGCAAAGACAAGCCAAACCAGTCACTCGTCGCAAAACTCGATTTTGAGTTATTAATACAGTGTTAGAGAGTAAGATAACAGCTATAAAATGGTAAAAAATTATTCAAATCGGACATTTCCTTATGAAGTTACAAGCATTTAACCACACAGCTGTTTAAAGAACACTATATGAGAAATTAACCTTCAAAGTTTATGATTTCAGTCATTTCTCATTCAGAAACTATCTTTAAATCCTTAAAAAGTGTTGTTTTAACATTGAAAATGGGGAAAATAGCATAGAATGATGTGTAGATATATAAAGGTTAGTTTAGTGCAATAAAATAGATTTTTAAAAATTTGACATTCCAGAATGTTTTGGCCATTTTCTCTGAAACACGATTTGCGACGAGTGACTGGTTTGGCTTGTCTTTGCCACATATGTCAATCTGATTACATGCGCACTCTCAACGAGTTTTGGAAAAGCGTTAAAATTTGATAAGATATCTGGCGGTGGCGGATACTATTTTTTCAAACCCTGGCGGTCAGAATGTTAAAATATTCAAAAATCTCATTAACCGTTCCTGAGTTTTTTCGTCAACACCTTTTTTGTGTCTTAGAAAAATCAGTTGTTTATTTCCTCCAGAGCCTGGCATTAAGGCAGTATTAAGTATTAAGTATTAAGTATTGAGTATTGAGTATTAAGTATTAAGTATTTTATTATGGCAGTATTTTAAACTAACTTATATTTTCCTATTAAAAAATGATAGTCTAATTTACACCAATTAAAGATATAAAATATATACAGTATGCATTTGTAAATTGGTGAAAAGAATACTTACTTAAATATAGGCCAGGTAGATGAAAGTAGCAAATTGAAAGAATTTCATTTTAGTCATTATAGGTTAACAAATTATGTCGAGTAACACTTTAAAAGCATCTTAAGCACACTGAAGAGCACATCATTTATTATTAAAGCGCAACACTAACACAATATCAAGATGACAATAATCTCCATTCTTCTCTATATAATATAATTTATGTAGTCTGTTGTATCAACAAATTTACATGTTTAAATTTTTTTTGAATGGTACTATAGTATTTTAAATGTAATAACATTTATAGCAAAGTTTGGATTTTTAAAAATATTTAGGCACTAAATACTTAATACTCAATAGAATATATAACAAAACATTATTTTTGATAAGGTATGGTTTCATAAAGTGAGAACCAAATATTTCTTTTATAATCATTTGTTCTAATGGCCAGGGTTATGATATAGGTCCCCAAGGGGCGTTATAAGACTAGCATTGTATTAATTATTAACAAACATTATGATTATTTTCTAAATGTCATTGTTCAAAGTTTATGAGTTCAGCATACAAAACAGTTTATTAAAAATTTCAAATAACTAACAGTTGAAATATTATTCATATTGCAACATACTGTACTATATACAGTTTAATTTTGATTTTGTCCAAGTATTCATTTACCTGTTCGAGCTCATAACCATGAAAAATAAATCAATATTTGATTGATTACTTTATTTAGCTTTCTCTTGGAATTAAAACTTAAGTTTTTATTGTTGTATGTTCATTTCTAATCGTTTTTATTTATTTGAGGAGATCCCTCTTGTTATTGTGCTATCATAGTTAAAATTTGCTAAATAAATTTAATAATTTTTTTTTTTTTTATTAGGACCTAGAAGTTCCAATATTTCTTCTGCGAAATGTCTGTTTCTTCTGCGATAGCAACGGTTTGTCAGTCATGCATAACTGTTTTGACGGATCTACCCCTGAAGCTCTACACTTTGGTTTAGCGCATGGAATTATTGCTGTTGTTGCTAACGTAAGTATATTCTTGAGTGGAGACAACTTATTTCCTTTCCCACTCATTCTAACCCACTTCCTTATTTTGATCCTGAAGTGAAAGGGAGAAAATAGTTTCTTCCTTGAGAAGATAAATGTAATGGTAAATAAATAAATTGGTAAATTATACATTTTGAAGTCACCAATGAGCTATTTTAAAATTAACATAATGGAATTGGTACAGCAAAATAAAATTAGGAGGTTTTAGTATATATGTATTATAAAGTTTACTTAAATAAATAAAAATGTATTGTATCCTATCCTATAGGAATCACCTTCATGGGATAGGACAAAAATAAAATTCCTATAGGATCTCCTAGAAATTAAGAAAAAAACTTCTATGACAGAAAATCAAAGGACAAAAGAACATTCCTATATGATTTCTATAGGATCTGATACACTAGCATCCTAGGGTTCCTTTAAGGCTTTTTTTGTAAGGGTAATTTCCCACTATGAATATGAAAACTTATTCCTTTGAAATTGTTTCCTGATGTGGTCCATAGTTTACTGAAGGTGATGGACAAAGCCAGTATGTAAAAGTTGAACTATAAACAGTGTTTTCAGCAATGGGATAAAAAATTGTGATATAATACTCTATATTCGTAGAAAATAGTATATAATTTTTTTATTTTTATTTTTTTGCTATCTGCGAATGCAGAACTGTTACTTGGAGTGGAGGTGTGTAGCTTGGTGGTTAAGATGCTTGCTTTCTACTCCCAAGTTCATGAGTTTAAATCCTGTCAAAATACCAGAATTGTTTTCATTACCAAAAAAGGCTTAACTCCCTAAACCTCATAATGAGACAGTGTATGTATCGCATCTCGTGTATGCTGGTCTTGGAAAGGATTTCAACCTTTGAGTAGAACAATAATATATTCAATTTTGGCAATGATAGTAAATAATAAAATAAATATAATTATGTTTATTTATTTGAAATAAATTTAAGAAAATATATATTTTCTCTTGTACAAGGAGTATAACGATTCTTCAACCTTCCCTAACTTAAAGCTATTAACTTAAGCGGTATCCTTAATAACAAATGTATTGTAAATTATTGATTCCAAAAGAGAATATTTCTTCCATCAGAATTAAATGTTGGCATTAGTCCTTGTTCCCATGGATTCTGTCATACGGCCATTGTCAAAAGCACAGACACTACCAGCTTATTGCAGTTAATTTATAAAATTAACAAGCATCTTATTTTAATTAATATTTTTAACTATGACTATATAAAATAATTTTTCAGCTACGTATATGGCTTCATATCCATGCTGTCATGCAGTATGTCGCTCCACTCCGTGCTCACGTTATCAGGTAAAATTATTATTCACATTGAATTTTATATTTCTAGTTAATGGATGAAGTACCTGCTTTGAATTTAAATACTGTTGTATTTGTGGAGTTAATACTCAGTCTAGATTAAATTTTCTTTAACCCATATATAGTCATGATATCCCTATATATGGTAATGATGTGATGTCATCATGGCCATATTCATGCATGTCGCATATTTTTGTCAAATAAAATTTGATAGTTAGGACAGGGCTTTAGACAAACTGTTGTATGCCCATATATAGTCATGATGTGCCCATATATAGTCATGATATGCCTATATATAGTCATGATGTGATGTCATCATGACCATATTCATGCATGTCAAATAAAATTTGATAGGACAGGGCTTTAGACAAACTGTTGTGCCCATATATAGTCATGATATGCCTATATATGGTCATGATGTGATGTCATCATGAACATATTTATGCATGTCACATATTTTTGTCAAGTAAAATTTGATAGTCTTGATAGAGCTTCAGTTTTAATCAGTTTAAAAGATAATTCATGGAACGTGAATCCATGCTTGTGAAGGCGTCTTTTTGCTGTAATTATGTGACTTGTAATAATAATGAATGTGATTGATATGTATCAATTTCTGCCAGCTAAATTTGCAATAAATTTATTCTACGTTAATGTAATTGGTGAATAAAATAATCTTCAGAACACTGAAGCTGTCTAAATATCTACCATTTCTTGCAAAACCTAAATCAACTCTCAAAAAAAGTTCTAAACTGTTAATTGTTAACTAGGATTAAAGTTCTAAGGAAAAATATCACCTAAAAAATAATATGATATTAATTAATATATTATTATTTAATTGTGATTTTACTGTGAAATTTCTTGGCGGTGAATATAATAGGAATATGACCTAAAAGTTTAATATAAATCCATGGGATATTAAAAGACAAGTGCAATCTGAAGTATATTGGACATGATCCAACACATGGTTCTCATCCTTATGTCTGAGTTTTTATTAAATTACTCATAAAAGTACAGCTCACCTTTTTTTGTAGAATGTTAGTTACTACCTATAATATTTAATGGGTTTGTACAGTTTATACTGTAAAAAAGAGGTTTTATAACTAAAGTTTTATTTCAACCATATTAGGTATCTTTAATGGTTTTGAAATCAGTACACTGATATCAGGGCATTTCAATTTTAGCTCGAAGTTAGTTACATTTTAAGTTTTGAAAAGGAAAATCATAAAGTTTGTGGAAGTTTGATTGAATTGTTCTGGAACATATATAATGGTATTTTTATTCAAAATTCATAAAAGCATAAAACATGGCAGCCAAAAAGGCTGAATTACGAATTACGTTTAACATCAATAACATCAAAAAGCATATTAAACATGATAGGAAATTTTACATTAAAATTGCAGAAAATTGTTTCTGAATTGTTTCTGACTAATATCCTATTGATAATATTTAATAATATCAGTAATGTTAGTATAGGTGATGCAGGTAGTGTTGTGACATGTGTCTGTGAAATATCGTATTTCATTTGCAGGTATCTCTGCAAATTGAATGACAATGATCTACGGCAGACCAGTGCCCGTAACATGGCGGATATGATGTGGAATATGATCAAGGAACCCATCGAAACGGCTCTACACTTCGACGGCGACAGTCTCGAGCTAGCTTATAAATACTTCCTTTCTTCGACATTGACCATGCGGCTTACAGGGTTAAACCAGATCACCGTAAGTTCATAGAATTAATGAAAATTTTTAGTATACCATTCAAACATTTATCCCTTAATACTTAATTACCAGTACAGGGGATGGTAGGCGAGAAGGAAAAATCCCTAATGGGTTTCACCTACCATTTTAAATATAGCTGTAGTAGGGTTTTTTAGCTCCAAAAAATGTCATGATTCTTCAAATTGGGAGTAAAAACCTTTTTAAAATAGAAAAAAGTATATTAATAATAATTTTTAGTTTGAGATTGATGTTATTTATACATCTTCAACAATGTGGTAGTGGGCATGTCTAAGCTTTCAATCAGAGTATCTCATGTATGACTACTCTGGATACTCACAAGGAGTATTTCAAGAATAATAATTCTTTGAATTTGATGTCTCTCATTACAGAGTCAAATTCATCTTTATAATGAAATATGCAGCAGTGAATCGATAACAGACAGTGAAAAGTAAGTTAAAAGTTGCTGTGGGACATGCATATTCCCAACCCTTTTCTGAATCTTCAGTTATTAACTTTCATTGACACTACAGATACATTATTTTCAAACTTGGTAAGATTATGCTAATTGCTTATGCATAATTAATAACTTAATTATGCTGTTGCTGTAACATAATAAATATTTGTAGGAAGAACATTAAACATTGAGAAGCCATACTTCTGCTGCCAATGATTATAGGAGTAATTCAATTTGTAATTAACATGAACTAATAAAGTTTGAAATATTGAATCAAAATGGCTTGTATTACTTTTTTTTGTTGTTAAAGATTACTCTAGTCCCAGTATGAGGAATACGCTGTACAGTATCAAATGCCTATTGACATAACTACTATTCAATTTTGGTATTTTTTCAGTGTTGGAACACAACTGGCCAACTGGCTACTAGAGAAGGAGATAGTTGAGCATATATTTGGCCCTAATTTACATCTGGAGGTCAGTCTTATACTTTAGAAATTAAGCAATACTATAAAGAAAAAAAAATCACATTTTTCACTCCTAGACCAATCACACCCTTATTAGTAATTATCCTTAATTTCTTTTTCTAGATTGTGAAGCAGTGTCAAGTTATACTGAATTTTTTAGCTGCAGATGGCAACATCACCACCAAGCACATCGACTGTATTTGGAACACAGCGCAACTAAAGCACTCTAGTCGTTACGTTCACGATCTTCTACCGCACTTGATAAAACATTTGGAGCCCATACCGCTATTCCATCTATTAAAATTGGTCTCCAGCCTTCCACCATCGGCTCACACTGAACAGGTACGTTGAACTAAGTTGTCTATTGTTTTGTTTTTTTCTGTACTTTTTGTAAATTCATTTTGTTCATTATTGATTCTACATTTAGTTTTTCTGGGGGGAAAATTAGGGGCAAGGTGAAATTTTAGAGGGCAGTATGCTGGGGTGACATAAAGTGGGCGAGGTTGGGCGTTGCTCAGAATGTCTCGAAAGTGGTCCACTTACGACAATTTAGGGGTTTCAAACGCTTATTCAATCGATTTTACAACGATAATGTACTAATATGTAGAATATACATATAATTTTTTCTTCCTGACGAATTGTGGTTTTTCTTCTTTTTTGTGGGGAAACTGGGGGGAGAAAGAAAATAATCCCTCTCTCCCCCCCCCCCTCTTTTGTTCTTCCAGGTATGTTTCTGTTCTGCCCTGGTATTCAATTCACTATCACCTTTTATTCCTTATCTCTGGATCTGTCTTGGGTTAACAACTTCATCATTTGTCTATAATCAATGTTGCAATTAAAAAAAGTGGTACAAATTTAGAGCATCTCTCTAATGCTCTTATCTCTCGTAAATATAATTCATTGTGTCGTATTATTGCAGCAAATTGATTTTATTTGGTGTTGATATAAACTTGTAAAGAGAGTAAATCCTTAGTTTCCTGCTGCATATTACGCTTACATGGTTTATGTTATACTCATAATATTATCTACAATCTTTTTAACTGTCGTCTGATTGTGACTCGGTTCCACTGTATTATTATATCTGTTTGAGTCGTTTTGTGCTTAGATGGTGATCTACCATTCTAATATGGGTCAGGTTTATATTAAGTATTCGTTCCCTGGAGAAAAAGTTTTCTTGAAATAAAATTTCCTGTAGATATTGAAAACATGTTATTTGATTCGAAGAATAGTCAAAGCAATGTCTACTGATGTTACATGTTTCAAATGCCATAATTATTGATAGAAATGATCATGTCTTTAATTTTACTCACAGAAAAGAGAACAAATTTAATATTCACTGTGGGTTATAGAGGATTTGGCTGTAATATAATAAAATCCTTTTATTGAATTTTTTTGATATTTTTTATGTAATAAAACTGGTTAGCAGTTTTCAGATATTGAATTTATTTAGCTTATAGTATTGTTTATCCAAAAATTGTTCTTATATCCTGCTATGGTTTTTTTTTTTTTTTTTGTTGCTGCCTCAATTTTTTTTTTTTTTTAATTCTTGAAAACTGATCCAACTCCACTAATTATATTTACATGTTTAACGTCTGTATTATCAATTGTTTTCCGTATGTCATCGGATGATTGGGTAAAATATTTTTTGATATGTTAAGAAAGTTCATTGAACTTTAGACCCCTGTAATAATTGACTCAATTTAAAAATTTGTTTAGAAATTTCTGTGATGCATTAATTGTAATTAACAGCAACCAGTGTGTAATTCATGAGCAAACTTGGTGCATAATTTATTCTTAATTATTTTTTTTTGTAAAAAAAAATAATAATTAAGCAATTTAAAACCCTGTCCAGACTATCACATTTTATTTGACAGGAACATGTGGCATGTCTAAATATGGTCATGATGACATCATATCATGAACATATATAGGCACAGCATGACTATATATGGACACATCATGACTATATATGGGCACATCATGACTATATATGGGCACATCATGACTATATATGGGCACATCATGACTATATATGGGCACATCATGACTATATATGGGTACATCATGACTATATATGGGCACATCATGACTATATATGGACACATGACTATATATCGGCACATCATGACTATATAGGCACATCAAGACTATATAGGCACATCATGACTATATATGGGCACATCATGACTATATATGGGCACATCATGACTATGGACACATGACTATATATCGGCACATCATGACTATATAGGCACATCAAGACTATATAGGCACATCTTGACTATATATGGCCACATCATGACTATATATAGGCACATCATGACTATATAGGCACATCATGACTATATATGGGCACATGACTATATATGGGCACATCATGAATATATAGGCACATCATGACTATAAATGGGCACATCATTAATATATGGACACATCATGACTATATATGGGCACATCATGACTATATATGGGCACATCATGAATATATATAGTCACATCATGACTATATATAGGTACATCATGACTATATATAGGCACATCATGACCATATATAGGCACATCATGACCATTATTATATGGGCACATCATGACTATATATGGGCACATCATGACTATATATGGGCACATCATGACTATATATGGGCACATCATGACTATATATGGGCACATCATGACTATATATAGTCACATCATGACTATATATGGGCATACAACAGTTTTTGTCAAAGAAAATTTAATAGTGTGGACAGAGCTTAAGGTAATTTGTGTATTCAATTTCAGATAATATAAATTTTGAATAATTCAACTTTAATTTATTTAGAATATCTTGGGCAATTGATATTTAATCTTAATAAAAACTTATCAAATATAATTTAGTTTATTTAAGGTGAAGATAAATATACAGCATATTTAACTAATCTATTTATTTTCAGACATTATTTTTGAGTCAAGTGCTAACAAAGTGCATTTGGGGAAATGCTCTTTCTACTCAAGTTGTCACCTCTACTCCGCATAAAAAACCACAAGCGCAGTATCCAGTAATCAGAAGGAACTTGCAAGGTAGAGCTTCAGTTTAATGTTACGTTGTATAATACCCAATTCCCACTTTTGAATGCTCAATTGCTGTAGGTAGTTGGAAACTTTCCTCTTACTGTATTGTACAAGTTAACACTATGCATCTAATGGGCAGCATTTTTTCGGATGACACATTTATGCTGAGCACATTAAAGGCAGTTAAACTCTATGGAAAATAGTAGTGGATTATCTCCCGGTTTACTACCCAATTCACCCACTGAAAATAGGTCTTCGGACTTTTTTTGGTTTTTAAAATCCAATCTGATATTAAATGTAATTCTTATTTTTTTCTCAGGAATGCATCATGCAGGGCATCACAGTCTGAGCAATAGCAATGAGAGTATGAACACTCAAGTCAGTGATGCGGAACAGGAATCTCACCACTTCCATAGGGAAGATGAGGTAAATTAGGAAAGGGAATGTAGGAGGGTGAAAAAAAAATGAGGATGTGTATGTCATAACACTTGGTTTTAAAAATAACTGTAGTGAAATCTGAAATCTCTTTATATTTAATATTTTTAGATTATATAACATGTTGATGGTTTCCAAAAAGTCATTATTCATTTAAGAGAACTTACATTGTGACAAAAAAATGGCTGCTACAATGATTATTAAAATTAATTACCATAACCGATTATAGGTTCTATGCAAAGCTTATAAAAAACTTTTCTCTTTATGTTGCCTCATTCTAATTTTTGGTGAATATTTTAAAGTGTATGAAGTTAAAAAGAATATTATCCAATAACTTTTATTGACATTATTATTAAAATTATGATACATTCAAACTACATAGAACAATTATTCTAGATAACATATATTTTAAAGATATTATTTTATGATTATGACAGTAAAATGCTGTAATTTTTTGGTGTTATTACAGGCAGAAGAATTGTTAGACGTTGTAGGAATGGAAGAATCTACAGAGAGTAATAAATTAGCAGACACATCAAAAGATTTCTCTACTCAACCTAAGAAATCTTCAAATAAGCGCAGGCTGATCAAAAGACACAGGGCAAAACATCGACAACAAGTGCTAACACGGCATTCATCATCCAACGAATCAAATGGGGACGATTCTGACAACATCGACTCTGAGAATGAAGCTCTCGCGACTAGTCCCGAACCCATGGATAGCGAGAGTGGTGAATCGAACGATGAACAGGCTGGTAGCGAAGTAAGCGAATTCAGCATGGATATACCATCAAAGTTATCGCCTTCCGTGAAGGCAACAAAGGAACGTAGCCGAAGTGACGGCAGTAGCGTAGGTAGTAGTAAGCACGAGCTGGAAGAAATTGACAGGCTACGAGAGGAAAATTTATCAGAAACCCCTGGAATCAAAGTTAAAAGAGCAACGATAAACTTAGACCATACGTTTAGGAGACAAAGACTACAAGCAATACGCAAGTCAAAACCTTATAGACAAAAAGGTGAAATTCTCTCGGACAGTGATAATGATGAAGAAGAAGTGATCCAAAAACATGAAAAGTTAGTACAAGTTGTCCGACCGTGCATGCATGTGTACCCAAACACATCGGACATTTTAGACTCTGATGCAGATAATCTAATCATGTTATCATCCCAGCGTAGATCCTCGCACTCGGAGGAGTTTGCTGGTGAGAGTAGCGCTGATGTTGAGGTGTATGACTGCAGAGGTTTTAAACCATTTCCACCTAGAATGAGAAAGTAAGTGACAATGGATTATCATCAAAAGTGAATTTGTTATGGTGAATACATTTCAATAAAAAAAAAGATTATTTGTTGACAAAAGTAATAATAATGATAATATCAAGGATTTGTAGCGCACCAAGAGAACGCTCATGTTGCGTTGACTTCTCCACGCCCAAAGTTGACATTTCTTAGTAAAAAGTCCCGACTTGAAGGATGTCAGACTTGTGTGATTTTCATTATTCAGCTGGTGTTCTGTTTCACAGAATTGGAATGCAAGTTGGAAAAGCTGATTAAAAAAAGAATAGCTACTCATTTAGTCAATCTACCAACCAATCAGTCAATCAATCAATCAATCAATCAATCAATCAATCAATCAATCATTCAGTGGTATACAAAATATATTTGGAAGATAATAATTTCATTTTGTAAACCTGCCCTAAATTGAAACTTTCACCTCATTTGTCTTAATTTTAGTATTGATATTTTGAGTCCTGAAGACATCAGCTGCAGCAGTTCCCAGGGCAGTACAAAGTCTGAGAAGAACATGGCAGACTTTGATGGTGAAGATTCAACTGGTGAGGATGAATTCATCCAGCTGAATGAGCAACTTCACCAGCAACTGCATGGGCAGCTCACTTTACCGGAGATTGACTCGGTATATGGCAAACATACCAAAGGTAAGTCTCTTCTAATTGAGTCGTTAATAGAGTGTGAGTTTGAGTGTTGCTTAAATATTCCAATTATTTGAGCTAATTATATTTCTGAAGTTGTTAAAGCCATTTATGAAATAAAATATTTGTTAATATCATTATCAATATCAATAAAATCTTTATTCATCCCACATGGCACAATTAAAAAAAAAAAATTTTTTAATAGGCAAAAATTGACCAGTAAATACTTGATTAAGACTTTAAACCAAATGTCTTGCATGTTACATGAGTGGCTATTGAGATCATCTGTGCAATAAAGTAGTCTAAATTGACCAGAGTGTACCTGTTTAAGACTATTTAACATCGTGAGTGGATTTCCCGTACGATTAAAAATCATAACGGTACTGGGTTTGGTCTACAGGAGTTTGTGCTTTGAACAGGTCATTCCATTCATAGAAGAAGCCTTTTGATGGAGAAAGTGTACCTATTAGCAAAGGTTTTGCCCAGATCGAAACTAACTCGGGCTTGGTTTTCTTGCGCTGACAATTGAACATCTTTTCAATCAATCAATCTTTTTTTTAGGCTCATGTTCTCACAGGAGTTCTTGTGACGACCAACAAGGTCCTTACAAAGATTTTAACTTTGATGTGGTCTGTAAAAAAGGACACACCCTTCTTTGGGACTTGGTGCAAGACCACTATGCAGTAAGTATCCATTATATTTTTATTTGGTCAAGTGATTGTGAAAGTTGCATCTAATGTGCTCCCACGACCCAACAGCTAGCTAATAGGTTATGGAATGGATGATGATGATGATGAAATGATGGCGTGAATGGTACTATACTAGTAAACAATTTGCTTGAAGATGCAAGGGATTGAAACCCTGTTCTCGAGGTTGGGGAACCAAACTGTTACTGCTCCGCCAAGGCACTTCCAAATTGTGGATTGTGGACAGAGTATTCTCTGATTAATAAATATTGATACCCACAGAAGTTTTTTCATATTTATCAACAATTTAAAAAAAGATGTATGTTTATTATAACATCTTCAAGCACATAATATACCTGAAGATTACAAACAATTTTTATGCACCGTTCAAGAACTGTTTTGATACAAATTGAAGTACGGACTTTTCCTCTACAGGCCCAGCTTGGTGAAGGCTTAGCAGTAGAAGCAGAGAAGATGCTTAGTACATTAGTGTGTGTGTTCCCTGAAAGGGAAATACGGATGAAGTTTGTTGAAGGATGCCTTGATAATCTAAAACACCACCGGCAAGTTAATACATTTCTGAATTTTAATTATGGACTTGCCATGTTTCGCCTCTTGACAAGAGGCATCATCAAAATTGAAGCGGTGACAGCTCGGACCTTTAAAAAATTACCTGTTCAATAGATATGATTGGATGATGTTATCATATTCTTAGGTGTGATTGGTTGATTTATGACTATGTATTGTTGCCTACCTTTCAGATCTGTTGTTGTATCTCTGAGACTTTTGCCAAAACTCTTCGGATCTTTCCAGCAATATAGGAATAACTGTAACACCCACTGGATTACTATGTAAGTGCTTTATAGCTAGTTACAGCTATATATAAGTACTCTATATTAAGTTCAATTCAATAAATATTTATTTGGTAATAATTCATAATACAAAAGAAGTGACCAAAGAGCACACAGAAAAAAACAATTAAAAGAAACAAACAAGCAATTGATAGGGAGTTCCTCATGGATCTTGCTTTACGGTGCCATGAATGTACGAGGGGAAAGTCTTTCCTTACCATTTTTGAGGGTGTAGAGGGCAAGTCCCCGGCAAGCTGTGAGTTTTAGCCTTTTAATTGCATCTAAATGATTTTAAACTGGGTTAGAGATTTTTAGGCTGATGTCGATACGGATAGGAAGGAAAGCTCCACTTTTGCCAACCATGGGTCTGCAACTCTTTTATCTAAGATTTTATTACCATTTTCTCCCTACAGGTGGGCTGAAGAGGAGCTTCATATGATGGAGCATTTCTTCAATGATTTAGTGTTTTACACTCAAAAAATAAGAAATGGTGATAAAGATAAAGGACTGTAAGTTGACATTTTCTTGTTATAAATTCTGTAGTTCAATCAATTTCATAGGTTTAGTTTTAATTTGAGTTAATATAGGTGTTATATTCTAACAATAATTTACATTTTGTAAAGTTCATTTTTAAATTTAAAACTGCAATTCGACTGTAGTCAACCATTTTGAGTGGAAATTTTATAAGTTATAGACATGTTGGCAATATTTTTTGTTTGTACGACTTTTAAAGAGGACAACCCTTCCGACTAAGTCCCTTCAGATGGTTGTATGATGTTCAGGAGACTTTTAAAATATATAATATAAATACATTCAACAAGATTCATACAAATTATTATAGAGGGAGCATCATATTACATATACATTTGTTTGTAGGTATTCCCATGCAACAGAAGTACAAGTCCGTCTTCAATTCCTTAACTGTGTCTTCTCAACACTTGGATCTCCTGATGATTTTAGTGAGTACACATTTTTCAAAGAATTCTAATTATAGGTATTTACCTAATTTCATGTGAATAATAACTAAGACATTGAAGAAAACATGTGAAGCTTGTTATGAAATATATAATTATCTTTGGAATGAAGTTACTGTACTGTTAAAAACTCTTTAACACAAGTGATTATTAAGTGGTTATTTGCTACCATTCTTTGACATCTCCAGACTTAATTCCTTCTGTCTGTCTTTCATAAGACACTTGACTTTTGCTATACTCTTTCTGGCCTCTGTGATATTTGCTAATCAACTGCTTCTTTTGTCTCCCCTCTGTTTTTCTTTCTCCATGCAATTTTATTTGGGTTCTGCTGTTGCTACCTTAGTAGGTAATTCAACATATTAGACTGCAGCCAAACCAGCGAACATGGGTTCTAATGGCTTTTCAAGAAACGTAAACGTAAGATGTATTCCTGATCATAGTTTTTAACATTATACTAGATGTTGAAATATAAATTCACAAGAGGTTCTATTCCTTCTTTAGGGTTATCTGTGGATCAGGTGGATATTTTGTGGTCATGCCTAGCAACCGATGAGGAATGTTCTGATGGTGCTTTAAACTGGTTCTTAAATCAAGCTAGAAACAAAGACCAACAGCATCCACTTGGCCTCGAGACATTCAAACACATCTTTTTTAACAAAGTATGTATTATGTATCTTTAAAAGACAACTTTTTTCAATGTTCCTTCAAAAAAATTGCTTCCTCTTTTAACTGTTGGTGTATCTGAGGAGAATTGGGTGACTGCCTGTTTGGAAAGCACTTTTATCCCAGAGTAAATTTGCTTCCCCAGGCTACCATCAGTACTGTTTTAACTGAAAACTTGCTGAGCTAATAAAATTGCACTCAGTTAGTTAAAAATCTCCTCCTGTTATCATTTCCTCAGCTAGTGCCTTCTAACCCTTACTGCTTAAAAATGACATATTAATATGTGATTGATTTAATTTTTTAGATGCCTTTACTAGAAGCTGATACTATCAGTATGACTGGGTTGAAGCTATTCCAACAATTATGTAGCTTGGCTAGGCTAGCTAACTCATCCTACGACAGTCCTGCAGTTGAGGTATGGTATATTCACCGTTTCTAATACATTACTATTTACTACCTTGTGTTCAAGACAAAATGAACAATCATTAGTCTAGGTGTCTCACTATACACAATTTTCCCTAAATTTAAAATTTCCAAGAACCTCGGAACTACCAATGTGGGGTATCCAGAAGCCTAGGCATTTTGCTTTATTCATGATGTGACCAGTGAATGACTTTCTTACAGTGATTTAGCCTAGGCTAGTCTTTGAAAACAAAATGCCAAAACATAAAAAAAAAAGAAAATGGGGGTGCATAAAACCTGCAGTGTTTTTGGTTGTAGAAGTGCAAAAAAGAAGATATATGTTTGGAAAAAGGAAATTTGTGAACAAGGTGCTCTAGCTGAATGTCCACGTTGGTGGTGCTGTTTCAAAATAGACCCAATAAAATGGTGTATTTTACTATCTGTTTGTTTATTATTTGAATGTTAATTTGTTTTTGCAGATGCCAGGTATTGATCAACTGTGGAAAATAGCATTAAGGGCCAAGAATACAGATGTTAGCATATCTGCCATACAGTACTTGAACACATATTATATTAATGGTTAGACCAGTGTTGTTTATTCGAATCCCTAAAAGTGTACTGAATGAACTTTATCCTTTTTATGTTAGAATATATAGTGCACCCTCCTATTCGAGACCCCTCTAATTTGAAACCACTTTTTCCAAAAAACCAATCGTCAATCTTTTAACACAAAGCCAACCCTCCAAGTGTAGACTAAATTCTGTGACCACCTCAAATTTTTAGGTCCCAAAGTGGACTCTAATTGAAGGGTGAACTGTATTTATTTGTTTATTATTGTAAAATACAAACTGAGCTAGTAATTTTTTCAGAAAGATGGTGCACTATTTAACCTAAATTTGAGCCCACTTGCTAAAACACAGAAAGAGCAGCAATAGAATCAAACCAGGTACTCAATGGTCTCATGGTTTGGTGCACACACATTGATTGCCACATATTTAACCCACAAAACTATTATTCTCCTATAATAAGTTTAGATATTAGAAGTGCTCTCATTGGTTTTTATTCCTTGCTAAGGGACCATCCACCCAATCAAATGTGTTGTTATTCAAATTCAATTATTTTTCTTGTTAGCTGGCAACGGCACACTTGAGAAGGAGGAGGAGTTCATACAGCTATGTATGGAGAGTTTAGCGAGTGCATCAGCCAAGCTGAAGGACTCACAAGAATCAAGTTTACTGGTGCTACAAAGAGGTTTAATTTTATTAAAAACACATTTAGAAGCTTTTAAGAAAAGGTAATTTGTTTTTGCAGTAATTAATTCAGTAGAAGGTTGTCAGAAATTCTGTGTGCTAAGTGTTAAGTTTTATAAGTAAATGTATAACATATATTTGAAATTTAAAAACAATTTTTTTTTACAGATATTCATATCATTTGCGGCAGTGGCAACTGCTGAATAAAGGTATCATAAGTCACGAGAAGAACAAAGTACAGAATGACACAGACATAGTCAGGGTTGTCTGCCAAATGGCTAGTATGTCTGAAAAGGTATGGATCAAAAATTTTGTTGTATCATGATAATTGATCATTTGATCATCTATGGAAAATACAAGGAGGATAATGATGGTGATGATGAAGAGTTGATTAGAATCAGTTAAAAAATGGAGATAAAAGGAAAATCATATTTAAATTAAAGTCTGAGAAAGCCATATCTGGCTATCTAGTGGTGCCATAATAATAAATTTTCTTCATCTGTGAAGGTCCCTCCATGGGCCCCCCTCTATTTCAAATTCCTGGATCCCCTACTAAAAATGGAGGTGAATGTGAAGAAATGTATTACTGATGATGGCGATACTTCTGAAGTGGTAATGATGATATGGTTATTTTTTTGGTATTGGTCATAACAACAATGAAAATAATAATGGTATTAATGATGATGATGATGGGTGTAGTGGTGCACTGTTGTGTTGGCAACAATAAACTACATTAAATTGTCTTTGCTCCCCTTAGTTCACTTTGGAGCTACACCTGACTGACTTGGTTGCAGACCTGAGGGCAGAGGTCACATACTTTTCAGAACGCCTCCAGAAGCAACGAGAAGACAAGCCTCGGCAACCAATCACATCCACCTCACATGGCTTTTCCAGCCTTTCCAGTTTCCTATTGGACAACCATGGACCGGTGCGAATGATCTCAGCTGGTCATGAACTCACATCGGATCTTGATGAGAAAATGCTCAAAGAAATGGGATTTGTAGACTTTCAGGTTGGTGATATTGAATATTGTTTTTTTTTTTTGTAGCTCAAGGTATTGTTCTATTTAAAATAGTTAATTGACTGTTTATTTGATTACCGTAAATGCTCGAATATGTGCTGCTCTTTAATAAGTGCCGCACCAAACATTATTTTTTTCTCTAACCGCCGTTCTCGATTAAGCGCCGCAGTGTTTAATCGAGAGTATATATTATCCTGTGTGTAAAGGAAACACTTTGAGAAACAGGGTTTTAAATACAAGGTATACAGTGTTAAAGTGAATGAATAACACAATGAAGACACAAGCATTTCTTTATAAACGTTTATTTACGATGACGTAGGACCTATGATAGGCCTACCAAACTATGGGACATGAGATAGGTAACGTGAGAACGGGCATGGAAAGCGTCGCGCCAGTATTTTTTTATAAACGCTACTCTCGAATAAGCACCGCTCTCGAATAAGCGCCGCACCGAAGCCTCCAAAAAAAGTGCTTTTGCGCTTATTCAAGCATTTACGGTACTTGTAAATATGTATAAATATATTGCTCTCTGTTCCAGCTTGTGTATGTGTCTTTCGGGGCAATACGAAGGGAACGAAAACGTGACACAATGGATTTACCTTCATCGTGCCTTCCATCACCACCACGGGAAAAGCTACCCATGATGCTCTTGCTGCAGGAGCCACACTTCAGCTGTCTGTTAAACCTCCTGCAACAGTTGGAAGATATGAAGTGTGATTCACAGGTAATTTAATCAGGACATACCTAAATATGGTCATGATAACATCACATATGGAACATATATAGGCACATCATGACTATATATGGGGCATTCAACAGTTTTTTTTTTGTTAAAAATGAATTTGATTTTGTGAATAGCGTTTAAGACTACTGTAATAGGATGTGGTTTGTAAATCATGCAGAACCCTGTGAGAAAACAGTAACTTGATAACAGGTACATCAATTTGTATAACAAATAATGAAAAGAACTACAGTAATAAAAATGTACAATGAAAAGAATACAATGTTAGTCAGTACAAGGACATTTGTAGTACACATTGCCTATGCTAGGATAGGAATATTTTTGGTATGAAACACATCAAGGATAACTAAAGACTTGTTTGGGGGAGGGGAAGAGAGTGCCACTGGAAAACCATCCCCTACCTTTTTTGAAGAGTATTGTATTCTTGAACATGAACAAATTTCACACATCACCAATGACTTAAACGTCTCATCCAAAAGACAATGTGCTATCATAACTTATGCCCTTAAGTGGCAACTCAAGAACGAAAGCAATTGAAATTGAATCAGAGACCAAAGAACTAAAACTATCTTATGCTTTATAGCATACACAGTGGCTATACCACCAGTTTATCTGACTCATCTATAGCTACTCTCAACAATCTTTGTTTTTATAGGATGAACAGAACAAGCAGGAATACATGACAAGGGCGCAGGTGCTATCAAGGAATGTCTGGGACCTGCTAATGCTGCTACCCACAAGTGCTGATATGCTGAACAAGTTTAAAAATATCAAACTTACTGCCAAGGTTAGTTCATAGTCATATTATCATTATAGTAATAAAAACATTCTGAATTGTTTCATCTTGCCTGAAATTATATGTAGAAATTTGTAGATATCAGAGTGTGCAATCCCAAAGCTCAATAATATGAGCATTATACATGAAACACAAAAGAAAACAACTAAACTCTGAAATATCCTTACTTAACCATCCCTAGTGATATACAAATGCATCTGTAGTCTTGGTCATGCATGAAACGTATAATATACAATTGTTTTAAAAATCATGAAAATAGATAAGTAAAAAATAAATAAAAAATAAATTCTATATGGACATTTTTTTACAATGTAGTACCATTCATATTTACCTGTAATAAGATTAAATCTACATAAATATATACAAAATTCAATATATTTTGGCTTAATATTCTGTTGAACAAGTTAAAATTGTTAAGTCATATACCAAATGTATTTTAATGCTTTATATGGTAAACACCATTTTGTAGGAAGAAGATACGAATAGGAGGTTATCTGAGGGCAGTGTTCAGTCAAGCGTGAACTGGAGCGAGTTGCTGGATGAGAGCAAGTTGCATAAGCTACTCTATTCACTACAGATCATTGAAACTCTTGGACAACCTTCAAAAGGAAGTAAAAGAAGCAAATCCGTGGTAAGTGTACATGTTAATAAAATATGGTAATTATTATAATCCTTGTAGATTATTGGTTTGTATATTATTAACTCTGTCATAATCATTGCCATTATATTTTATTGACATCGTCATCAATATAGCCACTTCAATCCATGTTAGATTAATTATTGTCATCATTGTCGACCATCATCATCGTCATTGTCGTCATCATCATTGTCATCATCATTTGCATCTTCATTTTTATCATCATCATTTTCATTACAGTCACACCCATTATAACCAATTCATTTTTACTATTGCTTTTACAACCACCACCACCACTTAGTTGCCATGGTCAATACTGTATATCTTTAACAACCATAGTCGTCACAATCATGATCATAATCACCACCTTCGACCCCAGCTATTCTAAGATGATAATTATGTATTTTCTGTAGGCTGCTATTGGTAGGACCGATATCTCACAACAAGCTGGAACGTCAGATTTAGGCGATGTACAGGTGAGTCATTATAGCTGTTTTATATTATACTATTTGTCGAGCACATGTGGCTGTTTAAGTACACAATCATAGCGCTCTTTTTAATATAGACCAAGTCCAAATTTAAACTTGTGGGTGCACAAACTACCTGTTGGAATTTTTGAATACGAACAATACTGCTACTTAACTTTTTTACTCGGGAAAAGGCTATTCACACTGGATTTAGAAAATGATATTGACCAATGATTTTGACCAAGGAAGTCCAAACCAAACATGGCTTTAGTTTGCATCACAAAGCTGTATTGTAGCGTGTACTTTCCCTTGAATGCTGATAGAAATTGAGAGAATACAAACGATATTTATGGTGAGATTTTTTACTAAAACCATTAGTATATCAGTTGTATTGAAATAAATAAATATATATTAAAAAAATGGTTAAGTATAAACACAAAAATAAATGTAATTCCTATCTTTTGTGATTTTATATTTTATAATATTTTTCTCAATGTTATTTGATTCAGCACTCTAAGAGTGATTCATGCCTGTACAGTACTGACACAGAAGAGGAAGGTAAAGATGTCTGGTCTTCAATGGTAAGCACTTTATTTTTAATCATCACTATTATTACAGTTACTTTTATTATTGATATATTTATTTTATTATTTTTTGGGTTTTATAACTGTTGGAATTATTATCATTATTTATTAATAGTTCAATGTATAGCTTTTTTAGTGAATCATTTCTAAAATTATTCTGTTCCTATTTAGCCAATGAATATAGAAAAAGAATGAATAAATTATCTAATATTAAAAATTTCTGTCTTTTTTTCACAGTTTATAAAGACAGGTGGCTTGAAACACCTGTTTAGCATATTTATGTCTGGACACCTGGAACCAAAAGAAGGCCAACAATGGACTTTAGTAAGTTCCTACATTTACAATTAAACATTATCTTGACAAAAATCACTGCCTGGTAAGAAAATTCAGGATGTTTGCATTTTTATAAGATGCAGAATAATGAATACAGTCTTAAGTCCTGTCCAGACTATCACATTTTATTTGACAAAAACATGTGATATATGTCATGATGACATCACATCATGACCATATATAGGAACATCATGACTATATATAGGCACATCATGACTATATATGGGCACATCATGACTATATATTGGCACATCATGACTATATGGGCACATCATGACTATATATGGGCACATCATGACTATATATGGGCATACAACAGTTTTTTTTGTCAAAGAAAATTTGGACAGAGCTTTACTTAAATAATTTAGTATTTGTGATCAAATGATTTTTATTTTATTTTAGTGGCAACAAGATTGCTTAGCAATTGTGCTGAAGCTAATTAATGAGTTCGCTCTTGATCAAGTCACCTTGGAGGTCGGACAAGACGATGTGTTCGACAGTTTGTCAGAGTTTGACTCGCCTCCTAAGAAGCCACGGAGTGGTCGAAGTAAACCTTTCCAAGATGAAAAGAAGTCGGTGAAGAGATTATCACATGTATGTTTTATCAATCAATCAATCAGTCAATCAGTCATTCAGTTATTCAGTACTTTTTATAAATGTTGACTCACATATTGATATGTATTTATGTTGTCATGTAGGAATTACTAGCTATGATGACACAGGATGGGGTGTTGACTAAGCTGATGGACGTTTTGTACCAAGCAGCTGCATCGAGGGAAACAGGGCAAGTGCAATCTGGTTACTGGGGTAAGTGGTCACTATTCTCAAAATACTGTACCCATTAGAATAGGCAATGCCATCATTATCATTAGTAATGGTCAGCCAAGTTGAGGCCAAAGAAGTGAAGACCTCCCCAAGTTGATGACAAAGACGCTGTGCAGCATCAGTACCGACATAACAGATAAATTGTCCATTATCCGACTCTCATGCAAGGTTTATTTGACATGCCAAAGCACTCTGACTCCCAATTAAATCCTGATGCTGACTGACCATTCAACTTATTAATATTATCATTTACCTTCACTGATGTGCTTTGAATGTTTTTCTTGCAGTGGTTCATTATGCAATGATGTTACTGAAATCCTGGGGGATGAGTAATCCATCGGTCAAAGGTCACTTGGTCAAGAGTCCCAACTTTGACCAATGGCTACTACGAATGGTATTGAAAACACCTGAGGTGAGTTAGTGTTGGAGAAAGTGAAGTTCTATATGTTTATGAATGTTGTAATATTTTCCATCCCAATGGAGAGAAAAAGTATGAAAAATATCTCGTGCCAAAGTTACATTATCACATATCATTAGTTTCTCTACACAATTTTACACATTCCATTTTTATCTACCTGTCTTTTTACAATACAACACTTTGTAGCATTGCCAATAAATCTACTTATGTAATTTGTAAGATAACATAAGATAAGCTTTATTGTATATGTATATTTAGATATTAATTTTAGTTGCTTAACCTACAATTTTTAACTTCCCCAGAGGTATGTCCGCAATGAGGTTCGTACCGGTTTGTTTGAGCTGTGTGAGGGTAACAAGGAGCCATGTCAGAAGTTTATATGGTCTCTGCTTTCTACGCTTCTCAATTTCTTACCGGTCGCCCAAGAGATTAAGCCAAAGAAGGTGAGTTTAATCCCGACAATTATATTATCAATTACAAGGATATATTACATGCTTATTGTACACCACATAGATCTGGAAATAAGTTCTTTTTCTTTTTTTAGAATGTCTCAGCATTTAGATTGACTTGTTTCAATTATCATCAGAATAATATCTGCAGAGAGTTGAAACAAGTACTTATATGATTGAAAAGTGAGACTTCGTAATTAGGATCCAATTAAACCATTAAATCAATGATGAATTGAGTTTTAATTTTGTAATTCCTTTTAATAATTAATTGTTTGTGTATTATGCAATAAGTATTTTCCTAAAAAGAAAAATCCAAAGAACTATAGCAGTTTGGCCTCACGGCACTGTTGGTAGAGCAACCAAACATTTTTTCAAACGTTCAAGTTTAAATCAATTGTGAATTTCCTGTGGACGATGAAATGCAGTTCTATCTATATCTGTATCTGGAAAATACTATTTAATATTTAATTTCCTTTGAATTTCTCAGTTTGATGATGAGTATGACAATCCTGGGCCGGGATGCCGGGACTATTTTTGGTTGCTATGCGCTCTTATGGACAATGTACGAAGACCAGATGACGATGATGAATACGAGAAAATGATAATAAAAATTAATTCTATTATAGAGCACATCGCTGAAGCACTTATCAGGTAAGTTTATCTGCTTTTTCTTGCTTAGGTTTTTATTGTAGAAGAGTTGTTTTTGCAGGTGTGGCTCCTTGATTTCAATTTCAGGATCTTGTGTTGAGTTCCTTTTAATTCAGAAAAGCTTTAAAAAATAGATAACACTATAATCAATCAAGTTTATTGCATTTATCATTTATCAAACACCTTTCCACTGCATAAATAATTCTTTTCCTGTATTTTTTTATATACCTTTGATTTGGCTGGCATAGTAGTGAAAAAAATCTTTAAATCATGGAAATTTTTATAGTTTCATTGTGATTGATAATTTTGGTGGTCTTTTTAAATATGAGCAATTCAGTGTTTTAATGTAATGTTTAAGGCCTTTTCTAGATTTTACTACAGAATGTATTTTACTTTGTCTTCTGAAGAGTATTGCACAATTTCATTTTCACTCTTTTTTTACATCTTTAATTTTGTTCTTGTAGTAGAGAAATATATGAAGATCGCCACAACACTGATGAGGACAAAACGCTGACCGGACTGCTGAAGCTCAGTACATCTGCCCTCAAGCATGACCCACCGTTCAAGTTCAGCAAGGAAGGCCAGGTTTGTTTGCCTCTTCAGTACATTCACAATACTCAATTCCATTAGCAGTTTTTATCACAAGAGTGCATTCAATTTGTGTGTATTCCTGTGTATACATTCCTTTGGGTAATTTTGTAGTTGTGTTACATCGAGGTCAAAGTGCCTAATCATTAATATCGCTGGCTAAATTCACATTATGGCCCATTAGCAAAGTTATTTGTAACAGTGTAGTCAATGTCCTTTGTAGAGCCGTAATATTTCAGGTTATTAAATTCATTCTTGATGTTTTTGTCCTGCCACTTACATTTTAAACTCATGACAACTAAAGTTATCTATGTCTATCTATATCTATGTCACAATATTAACATCCATCAGCAATTTTATTCGCAATACTGCTGTAGTTTTCCAATGATATTTTTCATTCTATTAAAATTTTGTCTACATTCATTTAAGGCTATTTGGAAGCACAGTATCTGTCCATCTTATTTATATTCCTTCAATTGTCTATTATTGACATCTGTGTATGTCATTTTATAAATAATATAATGTTGTTAATGTTAATGGTTATATTAATGTTGATATTTATAATAACATTGTTTTATATTCAGGTGTTTTTAAACAATGTGTTTGATTGCCTGTTTGCTGTTCCCTCCATTGACAATCGTAACCTACCCAAGTGCAAGTCACGGGAAGCTAGGCATGCAGCCTTTGACTTACTAGTGAAGCTTGCCGATAGTTGCCAGGATAACTACACTATACTGCACAAAAGAATGCTAAACCAACATCGACCAGGTATGCTTGCTCTTTTGTGATTAATTCTATAGATCTTTCTCTTTGTTGTAAGATTCATTCCAATGATATATCATGCAGTATTTATCTGTGTTGATTGTTTTATTCATCTGTCGATCTACCTCCATCTATTTTGCTTGTTTTTTTATCCGATAGATAAAAGACAGGAATGAATGTTACATTATCTTGTTTTCTGATATTTTCTCATATTTTCTCAGGTTCTCACATACCGTACCCATGGCAGTACTGGCCCCTTGACGATGGGCGCTCACCGTGCGGCTATGTAGGCCTAACTAATCTTGGAGCTACCTGTTACATGGCCTCCTGTATGCAACAACTTTTCATGATGCCAGAAGCTAGGGCCCCAATACTTAATGGAAAGGTATGCTACATACATTATAAAAGTTTTATATAATTACATAATTTTATAAAATATTTGACGAGGCTCTTTAGACTGTTTCACTTTGTAAGTAACTACAAGTCTTCAAGAAATGAAATTTATATATATATTCCTGTCTTTCCATTTTGTTTACAGATAAATGAACACACAAAGCATAAAAACACCCTCTATGAGCTGCAGCGGATGTTCACATTTCTACAAGAGAGCGAGCGTAAGACTTACAACCCACGCAGCTTCTGCAAAGTATACACCATGGATAAGCAGCCACTCAATACCGGTGAACAAAAGGACATGACAGAATTCTTCACAGATCTGATTAGTAAAATGGAAGAAATGACTCCAGAACTTGTAAGTATTTTTGAAAATTATTTTTAAAGTAATGTTTTTTAAATTTCAAAATTTTGTTTATAGAAAACCAATATTGACACAGATCTTTTTATTTTCATGTTCCAGAGAGAACTTGTTCACAGTTTATTCAAAGGTGAATTGACAAACAATGTTGTGTCGTTAGACTGCCCCCACGTGAGCAGAACAACTGAAGAGTTCTTCACTGTAAGATGTCAAGTGGCTGATATGAAAAATCTCTATGTGAGTTCATTACTATCACTTGATTATTTATTTTCGTCTGTTTATTAAACTGTTTAAAGCCAGTGAGTTATTGGTTTTAATTCAAAGGAAAGTATTGCTTGGATTAAGATTTGTTTGATTTTGGTTACTTAGGAATCGCTTGATGAAGTCACTGTTAAAGATACTTTAGAGGGTGATAATATGTATACTTGCTCACAATGCGGGAAGAAGGTCAGAGCAGAGAAAAGGTAGGTATTGTTGATTTTAATTCTTGTCATTCTAGTTGTCATTTTTATCTTTCTCATATTATCCTCATCTTCTCCGCACCCGTCTTCATTACAAGTTATAGTCAAGATTAATATACTTTGCTGTAAATGCTAAAGAATGAGCATTTGGTCTAGACATACTGTATATCAATTATCGCCTCATGTTTGTCATTCTTCGGAGTCACCATACTCGTATTCTATACTGTATATCTTTTACCAATTCTTATCCAATTTTTTATTTTACAGGGCTTGCTTCAAAAAACTTCCTAAAATCCTATCATTCAACACAATGCGATACACTTTTAATATGGTAACCATGATGAAGGAGAAGGTGAACACACACTTTTCATTCCCAGTACAATTGGACATGTCAGGCTACACTGAGGATGCCCTCATGGGCAACAAACCCCAAGGTATATTGCCCTCTACAGTTGCATTTTTAACAATTTAATTTGATAAAAGTAGGTCAAAAATATCAGTTATATTTTTGTAGTTCTAATGGCTTAATTTTTATTAACCATTATTGTGTTTAATGAAATGTCATTTATATATTTAGGGATATTATGATTATTTATATGCTGTTTTTGAACACTTACCTAACAAATGCCAGTCTTTGCTAAACACCCCCTAAAATATAATAAAACTGTCCTCCCAGAGCCCCATATAAAAATGCTGTTTAATGTTATAAAATATTGAAACTAAGAAATACATTATTTTCTCCAGGTCAGGAAGACAATTTAGATTATCTATATGGCTTAGTTGGGGTAACAGTACACACTGGAACTGCAGATGGTGGCCATTATTATAGTTTTATCAAAGACCGTATCCATAGCGATGCCCAGCGTGATCGCTGGTACATGTTCAATGATGCAGAAGTAAAGCCCTTCGATTCAACTCAGCTGGCTGCTGAGTGCTTTGGTGGTGAAATGACAGTAAGTGATCAGTTTGTGTCTCAGATCCATGGCATAGAATGACCATTATTGGCCCAGCTCAATAAAGCATCATAGCTTAATATGCTAATGGATGCTTTTGTTGTACAATACCAGTGATGATTTTGTGTCTGTGATTTTTGTCCTTAACCGCCTAGCTGAATAAAGCAGCATAGGTTCTAAGCTGGTGTAGAAGCTACAGTCACAGATCAATGGAGCCCATTTTGGTTTGCCTAATTCTTTTCCATCATTGCCTTCTTTGTGTTTCAGTTGGAGGGCTAAACACTATTGATCACCATAAGGCCTAAAAAATAGATTGTTTGCCCCTTAATCCTGAAAATTGTATAGGAGGGGCAGCCACCCCCTGTAGCGCTGCCACTGGGCTTGTGTGCATGTTAATAATCTTTTTTCCCTTACAGGTAGAAGGGATCTGTCTTTCCAATTTAGGCCTATGAAACTTTTTCATATACTGTTTTCTTTTAATCCGTAGACGAAGACTTATGATTCTGTAACTGACAAGTATATGGACTTTTCATTTGAAAAGGTAATTATATAATAATAAAGGTAATTATATAATAATAAAGGTAAGTATATAATAATTGTGATAGAGGAAAAATAGCAAAGATAATAAATTGATATTGATTGATAGTATTATAAAATATGAAATTTGAATATAATTATTTCAATTAGCATTGTATGTTATTTTTATTAATCATTCAAGTTATAGTAATGAAGCTATCAACAACACCAGAACATCACTGTGTGTGCCCTCTCCAACCCATGTGTATTAATTGCATACAGTTCACCCTCCAATTTAGAACCCCTCTTTATTCTGTGACCCCTCTAATTTCGGGACCACATTTTCAAAGTACCAACTAACAACCTTCAATCTGTTGACACAAAGTATACCATTAAATTTGAGAAGAGGTTGTATGCAATTCCTAAAAATGTCAAATGGGTTTACTAGCTTGTCCTCATGGCTCGGTTGGTCGGGTGACACTTCAGTAATCTGAGGGTCTTCCCTTGGCAAAGGGAGGGGGTATAGCATATCCAAAATATTTCTTGGATAGCGTATCCACATAGTAGAAATATTTATAACAAAATGCCCGACAGTGGTAATGATAGGGAATTATGCTAAAATAGTATTGATTACAATATAGTGAGATGAATGTGAAAATAATAGAAATGAATTTTTCAACAGACACATAGTGCATACATGCTTTTCTATGAGAAGATTGAGCCAGAGGAGTCCAAAAAGAAGGCAGCAAGTGTCCTGGATCAAGTGCAATTATCAAAAGATCTTGCTCAGGTATTAACATTCTAGCGCATAGAGGCTTTTTCGCATGATGCACTCTACAAATCCAACTATTATTATTATTTAACATTCTGTACTATTATTAGATGGTAATGCTCACATTGTAGGGCCTATTATAAAAAGATCACTAGTTGGGCCTATTTTGGGATGGTGATCATGCCTATCCACACATTTGGGCTAGGCTTAGGACCATATAGGAAGACTATTATGAGATGGCAATTACACAGTTGGCTCTATAACTGTTAACACAGATGTGCCTATTCTATTATAAACTTGTGATTATACAGATGAGCCTATTATATGCTGCTAATTTCTTACATAGTTAATTTCTTACATAGTTAATCCTATTACGGGATTGTGGGCCTATTATCTTATGATGATAAAACCTGCCCACCCATTTGAACCTACTATAGAAGTCACACCTGCTCACATAGTTATGGTATTTAATTGACAAAATAGTCACAAAGACAGTTGGGTTGATTATGATCATATATCCAGGCATGGATAGTGGTAACACAATCTGGCCTATTATGGAGTGGTGATCACAGTTTTAGGCTTATCATATGGGGATGTCACATAGTTTTTTTTTTCATAGGATGGTGATCAAAAAGCCTTCTATGCCTTGTTTTCTGAAACAATTGTTTTTATTTTTGCGTATCTAGTCAATCTGGCAGGATAATATGCAATTTCTTCGTGATCGTTTCATCTTTGATCGTCAGTACATGGATTTTATGTGGAAGGTGTGTCATCCGCTGCCATCAACGTTACCGCAGCCGCAGAGCTTTCAACCAATGAGCTCCAAGGTACAATAACTTCTTGGCATACTTTAGAAGGTGATGAGTTTGTGTGGTGAATACCTGGATAAATTGACTATTGTTAATTTCTTTTTTACTGAGCACACCCCCAAAAGGAGTGGATTACTCAGCACTGGTCACGTACATTTGAAACTTTCGATTTATGCGACACTAGAATTGAATCACTCATGCATGACCGTCTTGCTGGCATTGTCTGCATATGTCGATTTTGCCAAATTGCGTTCTAGAATCCATGCAACGAGGAGAACTTAACGTTCTCGCATGCTCAGATGACTTTTAGTGACGTCATTACATTCCACGTCCTACCGTCGTCGTGCAATCGACAGCTCTGTACTAACTACATTGCAACAGTATGTTCATGTGCTGTAATGTTACTAGAGTAAGTTGTGCACTGTATATCACCCATTCTGTATGGGCAACATGTTTGGGTTACTTACACAAGAATCCCTATATAAAGTTAGATTATGTAGAATGATTAATTTACAGTATTTGGACATCTCATTTGATTTTCAACATTACTCTTAAGCAGTTTTCTCTGACTAATATTCTGATCAGTGTTATCTGACCACCATATTGTAAATCTCTTTGGTATGTATGTCCACAGCTCACCACATGTTTTGTCCTTGAGACGTTGATCCATGCCAAAGAGAAGCCCATAATGGTGCAATGGATGGAACTGATGACCAAGCAATTCCACACATGCGCTGAAGCATGTGAGGTAAGTAAACATATTACTATGCTCACACTTCAGATATAATTTTAATATATATAAATTTATTTCTTTTTAATCAATTAAATATTTTACTTGATCCTATTCTATTTAAAATGATTATATTTAATCAAACATATATTAACATAAATTTATATTACTTATGGCCTTTAATATTTTTCTATTTCTTATTAATTGTATTAAAATTGTTTATTAATTTAAACATTTCTACATTTGTATAGTAAATATGTACAAAAACACAGACCTAAGGATGTCAAAAAATGATTTTAGCTATGAGTACTTTTATAATTATTTATGGAAGGATTCTTGTTAGAAAATGATTTAATATATTTCTTTGTAGTGGTTCCTTGATTTCATGGCAAAAGATGATTGTTGGCCAATGCAGATTCTAATCAAGTGTCCGATACAAACTGTGAGGCAGCTCTTCCAACGTCTGTGTATCCATGTGATACCTCAGCTGAGAGATAAGCATGCTCCTCTGTACATTCATGCTGATGTTGACAGGTACGTGGATATGTCTCCTTTGTATAATTGAACTGTACTGTAGCTTGGTGGTTAAGGTGCTTGCCTTCCAGTACCTGGGTCCTAGGTTCAAATCTCATAATCAAACACAACTCCATTTCCTAAGTCTTTACCTCTTGTGAGTTGCTGGAGCATCCCACAGCAAGGTACAATCTTCCGAGAACTATATTCTATATTTAAAATATTTGCATGTGTTTGCTAATGTATTATACATACACCGCCACACATTTCCTGTTAACCGAATCCCATGTGGATACTGTATTAGTAAACATAATACAGTAAGGCATTATAGGGTATAGACACATGCTCTCGCTGGGAGCCTGTTTTTGTAATTGTTATTAATGATATTAAAAAGAATGGGTTGATATTACAATGATGTTGTAAATAAATTATGGTTTGATTAATGTTCTGTTTTTTGGTTTGCAGTGATGAAGATGGTTATATTGCCCCAACTCACATCGGAAATTGTTCATGTGTGACAAGGTTCATTAAAAAGCTGCTTTCAATAGTAAGTACTACTATGCGTCTGAGTTTATTGATGGTTATTATAGATATTGTAATTGTATCCCTCTTGTTCAAATAGTGTATGTATGTTTTTTTTCATAAGCAATAAGCTATGTTGTACTACTACAATGCGCAAATCAAAATTTTGCTCCATTTTCCATTTTTTGTAGTTACTATTGGACAGTACATACGATCATTATTTTTATTATATGTTTGTACATTAATTTGTATTAGTAAATTAGCGTAATTTTTATGACATTTTTACTTCCAGATTGAGCATGGTGTCAGACCTCACTGTAAACATTTGACAGAATATTTTTCATTACTGTTCGACTTCGCCAAGATCGGGGAAGCAGAGGTATGATCGTTTTGACTTTGTTTAATTTTTATTTAAAACCCTGCCAATTTTTATTTTTTATACTTTTTTTCTTTTCATAATATAGACATTACAGTGAACAAAAAAAAGTAAAACATAATGAAATGTTAGTTTTTTGAGGTTTTCATAAAAAAAGCATTAAAATCCATTTCATGAATGCTTACCTGAAACACCCCCGTAAAATGAATGGAACAGTTGGCCCCTGCCATTTTGTAAAGCACACAGACACATCATTATCTTTCACAAATCTATGAGTGAAAGAACTTATGTGTAGATAAAATTTTTTATCAGAAATATTTAGCACAAACTCTATAATGCTTTTACAATAAGAAAAAAATTGATTGATATGATAAACTAAAAATATAATTGTTTGGAGAATGTATAAATAATTTGAATTAAATCATGTATTAAAAGTAAAATTTTATCTACCTTGCAGTCAGCATTTTTACTGTCAATAGAAGCAATCACAATTATGGCCAACTTCTATCTCGGCACCAAATCCGCAGAATATGTAAGTTATGCAGAAAGTTGATATGAGTATAAATATGATTGAAAATATACAGTTAAAATAAATACATTGACTTCTACACTAGTTCTACACGTTAATAAAAAGTTTTCTGTACTCTTTTTATTCAGGTTGAAGTGTTGTCAGATGATGATAACGACGAGGATGATGATGATGATGATGTCATTTCATTAACTGAAGACAAATATCGGCCAATATCATTTGAGAAGATGATCGCCCTCATGGCTTACTTAGTGGAGCAATCTCGTCGAGATCGTCAACTTACACTCTCCCAAAGTGACTATGCGGTACTTGTCGGTGGAAAGGTAGTTGTCACAAACCATGACAAATTTTTTAAAAAGCAAATAATGAAATGTAATGTAGTTATATTTATATAGCACTTTATAAGTCTCAAAGCCTAATTTCTCTAACAAATGGATATTATTTATTAAATTTTTCCAGGGATACCCTTTCCTTTATCAACAAATTCGAGACAACATCAACATTCAGCAAACTAGGAACCTGATCTTCAGCCTGACCAGGTTCTCACCAAGGCTACCAGAGCAGGTAAAAGGAAGAAAATCAGAGACTTGCTTTGAATGGTTGTAAAACTCTTACAGTCTACTGCACATAAGACCTAGCTATCTGCTTATGCCAAATTTTTTTTTTTTGTTAACTTTATTCCTATTGCAGTTGAAGAACTGAATTTGCGAAGCTAAATTGTTTAAAATTGTGGCATTTGACATGAGCACATATCTCTAATATACAATAGATAAATAATAGTGGATAAGGTTTTATTACTAGTAACAATAAAACAGAATAAATTACATTAACTTTGAATGATACAATATTATTATTTTTTTTCAGATTGTTGCTATGATATTCAATGCTATTGCTAAACTGAATCAAGAGGTGAGAAAGACCAGATAACTGTTTTCATAGGCATTTTCGGGGTGTGGAAAATTTACTGTAAAATGGGGAAAAATAAACTTTTCTGGTTGTCTAAAAGTGCCAGAGGCATAAAACTTTGCACCTCAGCATCGAACATTTGGTGGGGGCTAAATAGTCTGGATTCTCAGTCTAAAAATTGCCATTCTGGGCCCCCTTTATTTTGTATCTCCATATCTTACACCAGTTTTGACAGGTTTGCATAAGTATATTATTTTCTAAGCCCATTCAGGAACCTGTGTGGGTATTGTTCGGGGACTGATATATAATTGCTGTTCACTTTTTTTGTGTTAGGCTGGACAGCCTTTCTTCAAGTTACTATCAATGCTGGTAGACATGGTTGGAGGACCACCTGGCTTACCTGCCTTCACGCCTTTGATTCTACAGAGAATGTGGGAGGTAGGTTATCAATAAGTAGAAGAGTTTTGTCGCAGCGTTAACGTTTTGCTTTCCCAGCCTTGAGGTAGGGGATTCAGTTTCTCAATGTGCATTTCACTCATAGACCAACAACATCACTTGACTAATAGACGAACAGTGTCTATTCAATGAATATTTTTGATTGCATTGATGCACGATTTTGTTTTGAATCCTTCTTACGTTCAATTAAAATGAATACAGAATTCTACAATAGGGTTTTGCAATGTTATAAAAGGAATAATTAAAATTTACTTGTATTGTTATTTACTGTTTTATTTTAATTATGATTTTGTGTTTCATGTTTTAAAAGTTGTAGTTCAATTTATAATATGCCATTCAAACATTATGTTTCCAATCATGGTTATTTTCGAAACCCTTTGTAATTAGGAATAGAAGTAATAAGAGATGTAAATAAAACTGATACTGAATTGAAATGGAACACCACATATAGTAATTTATTCATTTTTTGTATACTGTGTGTAGATGTTGGCTATGTTCTCACACAGCAGCTAACGGTTAGCAGGATCCGGATCCTGCTAACCGTTAGCTGCTATGCGTCCATACAAGAAAATCTCGATCCGGATACCAAAAATATGATGATCGAATCACTGGCCAATAAGAAACCGGAAATTGTAAATGCCTACATGTGATTGGTTGATGCTCAACTTGCTAACCAATAGCGCTTGCTAACCATTAGCGGTATCCGGATACTGCTAACGGTTAGTGCTAAGCGATCGGGCGTTCTCACGCAGGTGCAGCTCCCGATCCGGATACTAGGGCTTTCGTGAGAACCAGGCTAAAGTTATGAGTATAAGTATTCTGGCTTCTCTGTATTAAAGTATACAATACTGTCACTGTCTTATATTAATTACCCAGTTTAACATTTAGGGAGAGTATGCTGGTTTTTGGAAGGCAAGCCTCATATTTATATTATTAGAGTACCATAGTGTTATTAATCATTAATCTTGATTGTTTTCTTCACCCTATAGATAGCCGAGTACAACCCTCACCAGGTACTGGACTGGCTAGCTGCCCATGTGCCCAGAAACAAGTATGCTCATCACTGGACACTACAAGGCATTGAGACGTGGATCGAACACTTCCTATTGGAACACCACAATGCTCGAGTTAGAAGCTGTAAGTTAATATCCATTAACCTGATGCTCATTGTAAGAGAGGTCACACCAGGTGACATAATGTCACATAATTCATTGCATGTATTTGATGTAAGATGAAGGATTTTTTTAAATAGTTTAAAATTTTAATAAGTTTTAAACTTATCTTTATAATGGGTATTCATTATCAACCCACTGCATGGCAAAAGCTCTCAATTATGACACAATAAATAAAAGAAATTTGTCATTCTTATTGTATATTCAATTACATTCTTCCACTGTAAAATAAGCCTTTTTTGGTTTAATATTTCCAGCTGCTGCCTACTTGCTAGTCTCTCTGGTTCCAGACACTCAATTTCGACAAGGTTATAGGTCATCTAGAAGCATGCATAATCCTCAGAAAGAGCTTGTGGTAAGTGAAGACACAATAGGGAATGTAACATGCTTAATAGTCAAATGCTTGAATGGAAGGCACATAATTGAATGTCACATGAATAAAATTCACATCGTATTAATTATTAGTGGCAATAATTGTAATGTGTATCTGTACATGATCTAATGTGACATGTAAAATGCTGTATGATTGAATGTCACATATTTAATTGTCACATGCTTAAATGTCACATGCCTAATTGTAACATTCTTAAATATCACTTGGTTGAAAGTAAAATGTTTGAATGTCCTATGCTTAAATGTCACATGATTGAATGTCACATGCTCAAATGGCACATGGTTAGAAGTTACATGCTTCCATTTGTCTTTCTACAGTTGACTACTGAAGCCCTTGAGGTATTGCATGAAGTCTACAGAGTTCTACTGGAACTTCTTAGGATTGCAAGGCAGTTTGCAGGTACACCTTATCATATTACTGCTACAAAATCAATCCCAAACTTTAATGATAAAAAAATCAATATTAGTATAAATTTTTGTGTTATAAAAATAATTATTACTGATATATTTACAAAAAATGTGTTTGCAATGACTTACAATGAAAACAAAGGAAACGATGATGATAATGATGATAAAAAGCCCATTATGTATTATTAGCCCATTATATATTCTATGCTATATTGTTCTTATATTATTACAGTACTATGTTATTGTTTACATTCTTTTTTCAATCTCAGATGCATCGGTCCATGGAACTGCGAAATTAGTGTCGTTTTTCTCTCTCCTCAATTACTGTCTCATATCAAAAACTGAAAAGCAAATGGTAAGTTACTATTTAACATATACTTTAATAATGATACAGAATAATGTGCCCTGACCATGTATAGGATAGTAATGCATTTAAATACAGCATGTATAGTGTAATGTAGTCTATAGGTATATAACATATATTGGAACATTTTAAATGTTGCTATGCATTTTGTTACAGTTTAGTCCGTATTTTGAAGACCTTTGGAATATTTACCTACCGAAGCTGTCAGAGCCTCCCATCTCATGCAATCACAATAAAGAGGTATTTTACACTCATTATATTTAAACAAATTATGGGATTATGCTTTCAAACTTCCAGGTTATTATTTGGAATGAATTTGGATTTGTAGAATACATATCACAAATTGTCTCCTTCATTAGTATATGTTGTGATATATTTAACAAAACTACAAAACTGAAACTTTTCAGTTTGTAATCCTCAAAGAAATACCCAGGCCACTAGATTGAACAACAACAAAGGAGTCAAACTAAAAATGTCACCTGCAAACATCATATTATTATTATTATTATTGTTATTGTTATTATTATTATTGACTTGCGTTTCGCTTGCAGGCCCTGCTAATATTCTGGTACAATGTTTGCAAGGACTGTCCAGAGAATGTTCAGCTGATCGTCTCTAATTTAGTGGTTACAAAACACTTACCATATAACTACATTTTGTAAGTATTTAATGTTCTGTTAAATATTTCAAATGATATTGAATAATTTGTATAGGCCTATAAATAGTCTTTCTTGAACACTTACTTGGTGGATATATGTTAAGTTTTCCTTTGTGATGATTCTTTTATTTTTTAGATATTTTCACAAAAGAAAACTTGGCATATATTGATAGATATATAGATTGCCACGGTACTTCTACACTTATTTGTATTATATTAAGTGTACCAAAAATCAGCAAATTCTTACTTTTTTACCCCAATACTTTATTTCTAATATGTAAATAATTAAGTCAAAATCTTAATCACATGAAGTAGTGACAATTGCCAATATGAACTTTTAAACATTAATGAATAACTAAGATTGTTAATGTGTTGACTTTTTGCAGAGCTGATCATGAGGATCAGGAGGTGGTGATGTTCAACCGAGTGATGTTGCCGGCATACTACGGCCTACTCACCCTATGCTGCCAGCAGTCAAAGTCTTTCACAAGGACATTGGCTTGTCAACAGAACTTGCAGTGGGCCTTTGAGCATCTCACCCCACATGCCAATCAGTACCCCACCGTACGTTTATATTACATGTTCATAAATGTATCAAATGTACATGTATAATTTAACAATATTGTTGTTATTGCTGCTGCTGTTGTTGTTACCGATATTGTTTCTACTTTTGTTACTCTTGCTGTGGTGACTGTTGCTGCTGCTGCTGTTGTTGCTGCTGCTGCTGTTGCTGTGGATGCTGCTGCTGCTGCTGTTGCTGCTGCTGCTGCTGTTGTTGTTACTGCTGTTCCTGTGGTTACTGCTTCTGCTGCTGTACTTGATGAGGCTGCTGTTGTTGTTGCTGTTGCTACTGTTGTTGCTGTTGCTACTGTTGTTGCTGTTGCTGCTGCTGTTTTTGCTGTTGCTGCTGTTGTTGCTGTTCCTGCTATTGTTGCAGCTGGTGTTGCTGTGGTTGAAGTCGATGTTGTTGCTGTTGCTACTGTTGTTGTTGCTGCTGCTGTGGACGATTTTGCTGTTGTGTTCTGTTATTAATGCTGTCGCTACTGTTGTTGCGGTTGTGGTTACTGCTGTTATTACTGTACAACTGTTGTTGCTGTAGCTGTAGTTGTAATTGGTTCTGCTGTTAGTGCTGTTGTGGTGACTGCTGTTTTTCTTGCTACTGTTGTTGTAGCTACTGTGGTTGTGCTGTTGCTGCTACTGTTAGTGACTCTGTTGTTGTGGCTGCAAGCTGCTTGCTGTTGCATTTTTTCCCTGCTGTTGCTGTACTTGTTACTTGTTATTTAATCAACTGTAACATTTCTTTCCATGAATATATACCAATTTCTCTCCTATTATTAGGTCGTTGAAGAACTTTTTAAGTTAATGGAATTATTTGTAGAGAAGCGACCAGGAACAACTGAGCAAGAGCTGCAACAAATCAAAGAGTTCAAGCGACAGACTCTCCACATGTATCTGAAGTGCCTTGAGAAGAACTCCTGCTGGACAACCATCATCAGTGTGTTCCGGATTCTAGTGGAGAACAAAGAAGATCACTTACTGGTCATCCAGAACCATGGTCTTAGCAGACTGTATGATGTAAGGATATTTAGAATAGTTGCTTTCAATATATTTTATTTAAATAAACTCCCAGAGAATTTAACCTCTGGGGGAAGGAGGAGGGTTATCGTCTTTTGCTTTTATTCTTATTGACTTTTCTGGTGGTAGTAAATGTTCATTGGAAATTTAAATTGTGGGGAGGCTGTGTTAAATTCTAGTTTATTGATGTATGAAATTTTTTCTAATTTTGTATGATATATATCATTTTTTTAAATTTCATACGTCTAGCAGACTAACATGGCTCTGTCTATTTTTGTAATTTATTGATGGATTTCTAATGCGAAAATTATGCATAATGTAACATGTTATTTTTAATAATCTATTTTCACTTGATGTTAATATTACTGCCAACACTTGCCACTCACTTTTAACTTATGGAATTACTGATTTGTTATAGGCTTTTAACACAGTGCATTTGATGTACCATGAAGCCACAGCTTGTCATGTGACCGGAGACCTTGTAGAGTTGCTGTCAATCATCCTGCTGGTGTTGAAATGTGCCAAAGCCCACTCAGATGACAATGGTGAGGAAACAGAATTCATATACTGTACAGCACACCTAGGTGGGCAAAGTTCGGCCTGCAGGCTGTATGCAGTCCAATAGTGATTTTTTGTGGCTCGTGAAAATGAATTAAAAACCCTGTGTGTGTCACCTGCCAAACATCTTTGGCTAGAAACACCGATGTTTTTTTACCGCCTGACACCGATCATCTGTAAAAAGTAATGTTAAAACTAAGACTAAAGTGTATGAAGGCTTTTGGAAGCACACTGGAAACATCAAAGTTTTCAGCCCTCGGTGTTAAATCAAAAATTCACTTTGGCCCTCCGACTGATTTTCATGCCCTCCCATGTGATAATGTATTTTGGAACATTGAGTAAAGCTAAGCACACCATGTGTTGTCCAACAATTATTATATTTCAGCTCGGAGTGCTTGACAAGGCAACATCTTCTGCTGATTGTCGGTCGCATTTTGAGTAGATATATCGAGGAGGCCTTGTCGTATTTGTCTTTCATTAATTTGTTGATCTCCATATTTCTTTATACATTTATTAACTATGACAGTGTTCCTTTTTGTTTGTAGAAATTTGTCAGTCTTTAATCATGTGGCAAGAGAGACTAGAGTTTGGACAGAAGTTGCTAACTTTGCTCAACTCATACACACCAGATAGTGTCAGAACTAAAGCCATAAGTAAGTAGACTTCAGCTGAATATGGGTTTTAAATAATTAATAGATAATTGTGTGATCTTGAATGTTGATTGCAAATTTGACTTGTGTACCTTTCAGGTATTTTAACACAGCTGTTGATGCTGTATCCCAAGGAATGCGTCAAGGAGCTTGGTCTGATAATACATCATGCACACAACCAATTCCAACGCACCACTATGCCAGGTAAACCTACATCTCTTATATATTTATATCTACACCATGATAAATATTAGCCCATTTAACTCTTCATAAATGTAAACATGCAAGTAGAGCCGTTAAATGGGAATGATGATGATGATGCAACAAAATAATTTTTTTTTTCCAATGTTTAGTACCAACAGGACCTTTCTTTCCATTCCGTGCTCCGAAGCCAGCCTTCAATAAAGCTGGGATACGCCCTCCGAGGCCGGAGCTTCAAATGTTCCTACACGCCAGTCAGCTCGAGACGTCCAAGGTATTGCTAACACAAAAAATATTCATCATTAGTATACAAGAACCTTATACAAGATTAGATTATTATTGTTATAGTAAATTAACATTACCTTTACCTTTTGTTATGAATTATAGTGAAATATTTTTTTCACTCTTTGTGATGCCCATTGTTGTCATTTAAAATTGAATATACTGTTCTTGTTTAACAATAATTAATCTACAAAAGACCTCTGTTTTGGAGGCACAGTGTTCTTTGTAGTTGCAGTTGCTGTAATTGTTGTGAATGCCTTATATGTATTTGTCATTGTTCACATTGCAGGGAACTGATGTTGTTTATGACAATAGGCTGTTGGACTTCTTTCTTCCATATCATGTTTTCATTGACTTGCTATGCAGGACTGCAGTTGCAGAGAACATGCTCTCAGAAACTATCATTAAGCTCAGTAAGTGAATAAGTCTATGCAACATTACATTATATACATGTTTGATGAGAACAATATTTGAGAAATCAGCCTTCAAAGTTCTTATGCAGAAACCATCACCAAATTGTCAAAAATGTTTTACCTTTTTTTTTTGTAGGTGCACTTGTGGCTTTGGAAGGAGTACCTCTGCAACTAAGCTGGTTTGCAAACTTTTGGAAAACAATCTATGTAACAGAGGTATGTGTAGAAATTAGTTATTTTTACTTTTTAAAGTTGCCTATGTAATCATTATCAACATTGCCATCATCATCATCTTCATTATCATCATCTCCATTATTATTATCATCATCACCATCATTAATACCATCATTGTCATATTCTTCAGTATCACTACTATTACATGTTTTTTTAATTAGAGTTTGATGTGGTTTGATGAGATGAATGTTTTAACAATACTTTTATTGCCTTCAGGATGTTGACAAGGATTGTAAGGAGACGTTATGCAATTACCATGTATTCCACGAGTTCATGGAGTCTGTTCTACTTGATGAACGCACCTCATTTAATAACCCCATCATCAACTCTTTCTTCTGTATGTTCTTCCCAAAGGTAAATTTAACAAAATTACTTATAATTATTGAGTTGAACAATTATTACAGCTAGTCAATTAATTATATGATATCAGCAAAATATTTTTTTAGATATTTTTTTCCTGAATGATGATGACCTGGATAAACTTACAAGTTCCAAAAACAAGGAAGATATTAATTATTTTGGGGTAGGGGTTGTGGATGCAGGGGAGTGGGGGTGGGTGTGTTGTAACACAATCTGGCAGAGGCGTGAATTAACAATCACAAAAAATGGGAGAGCTTAACATTTGCATGCCAATAAGGAAAAGAATACTGTGCATCTAATCTCAGTACATCTTAACAGATGGTTTTTATTTTGTATTTTTTGAATGGTAATCACTTTTTTCCAATGTTCTGTTCAGGTATACAAACATGTACTGTGCAATAACTGGGACAATTTAGTGAACACGGTGGCAGCTGCATTGATAGCTGAGATGGACGACATCAACAAATACAAAGCAAAGCAACTCAATATGGTCGCTTACACATTGAATGGGGTAAGTAGTCCAGTGGCATTGTATACCTCAGTGGTTTAGAAGCTTGCCTTCTAATTTCAGGGTCCTGGATTTAATTTGTGCGACAGCAGGAATTTTTGTCACAACTAAAAACAGCTCCACTATCTAAGCCTCATAAAGAGGCCTTTATAAAGCATTGTCCATTCTGAATTTTTTTCACAATAAACTTTATTCAATCAATTTCCTTTATTATAATTTTTTTGACAATTCTAATTTTAAAGATTGATTGAAAAGGCATCAAGTACAAGCAAGCTTTAAGTTTTGATGCCCTACAAAGAAAGAACAATAATAACTACAAAATAAAAATAAAAAGATAATAATAGAAGACGATATATTTATAAATTAGTAAAAAAAGGTAAAATTACGACCAAGTATAGTAAAGATTACCAGTTTTATCTATATTTGTAAAGTAGTTTGTTGTGTATTTCTCTTTTAAATAAACTAATACTTTGTAGATTTTTTATATTATGTTCTAAGCTATCTCATATTTTGGTGCCTCTACAGTATAGCTGATACTGTTTTGTCCCATTTTTGTTTTCATTAATACAGTGGTAAAGTTTTTCTATTTCTGGTTCCATACAGTAGTTACAGTATGTGTATCTTCAATTGTGCGAAAAAATGTATGAAAGGTAATAGGAAGCTGTTTATTATGAAATTGGTGAGTTTTGCTGTAGGATGTGAATGAAATAAAACAGTTTTAAGAGTTTAAGGCCTAACTGTATTTTAAATATTCTTTTACAGGATCTAAGAGCACTCCTTCTAATGTTTTCTGTCTCACCACCAAGACATCTAAGCTCGGTATTTGTTCCAGCTCTCAAACACATCTTGGCTCGATGCAAGCAATATCAACTAGAAAGAGCTGATCAATTGGAGGCTCAGAAAGACCACAAGGAATCAAAAACAGACACACACAGCAAAAATAGTACTACAGATTCTAAGGACCAATCAGAATTGCCAGGTAAGATCACATGTTACTGAATTTTGTAATGGTTATGGCAGAGAATTTAGAATCAGTAGTGAATCTGCAGCTTAGTGGACCAAATGCTGATTGCTTCTCAATTTCAGAAATGTCAGCAATGTATTACCACAAAGCTACAGCTCTTTTTTTTCATAGAACCCATTAAGGCCTTTCACACTATGTGACAATTTGTGTGATGTGCCCATATATGGGCATGATGTGCCCATATATGGGCATGATGATGTCATATTACACCCAAATTATTTGTCACATAAAATTTGATACTGTGGACAGAGCTTTATTTTGATCTTAAAAAGTCAATCATTGAACGAGCCAATCAGGAACATCAAACATTCTGTATGTTACTTGTTTTCTGTTTGACCTATGACCTTCCCATTTTAATTCCCAGAATCTGACTCAAATTTGAAGAAGAGAAAAGCAGAAGATGAACTTGAAAGCACTGATGAAAAATCAATATCACCAAATGATTCAACAAAGAAACAAAGAGTAGACACTGGATTAATGGAGAATGATGAATCCGCTTCAGATGATCAGAGTGTGTCAAAGGATGATAAGGAACAATCTTCAAGTGAAGAGTCTAGTGAAGAGGGAACCTCAACTGGTCTGAGGTCAAAAAGTCCCACCTCTGCAGACGTCAAGGTTCCTAAGGAATCATTCAAACTATCAGAAGTTATGAAAAAAGCAGCAACACGTTTACAAGAGAATGTGGACATACTTGTTAAAACAATTGATAAAATGCTCTTGTTGTTAGATAAATGTGGTCTGATTGAGAAAGAAAGTACAGAAAATGTTGATGAATGAAGAAATCAGATTTACACGAGCTTTTAAAAATATGCTGCTTCAATGTATATGCAAACATTTAGAGGAATTGGCTCTGCTATGCTTTGCGGCCCACAGTTGAAGAAAATTTGGCAGTATTGAGGAAGTGTTCAGGTATCTACCAGTCCTGGACTTTACTACCATTACGTAGTCACTACATACATAGTTAATTGAAAAAAAAACACTCAGTAGGCATATGAGGTGGTGAGTGTTTTTGAGTGTTGCCGAGAGTTATTTCCACAACCAGGAAATGTTCTAGACCCCAGTAAGTGATTCAGAGTGAGTTTCTTCCATTCCAATTATGTTTACTTTAATGCATATTCATGCCAATATTAATTTGCATAGAAGTGAGCAGTAATTTTGCCTTGCTTACAATTTCTGTGTTAATGTCATTAGCTTTCATATCATCACGTTTGAGGTAGGCATATTAACTAACATTAAGCCAACCTCCCTAAAGTCAAATGTACTGGATTTATTGTGTGGTACAATATAGTGAGGATAAGTGTCAATTTAACACAGGTACTGTGGCAACATGTAGCATCAACACTTGTGGGGTCAGAAGGTGTAACACAGGTACTGTGGCAACATGTAGCATCAACACTTGTGGGGTCAGAAGGTGTAACACAGGTGATGCATCATTTGAAAGCATGTGGTATAAGAAAATTTGACATGTTTTGTGGCATTAGAAATTGTGGCATGAGTGTAACACACAGAATACGCCACTGGTAGTGTAGCATGAGGGAGTGCATCAGAGATGGCGTGTCATCAGAGGGTACAGCACAGGTGATGTTGTTTTGGTGTCATAGTGGTAGTTTAACATGGGTGGTGTGGCCTCTGCAAGTTTAACTCGGTGATGTGGCATCAACAATAGTTATCACTCACTTGTCATTGAACAGAACCTTGAAATATGACATTGTACTACTTTAAAAACTATTAGGCATCTTATGCTATTGACAAAATGAAGGACTATTGACAATACTGATAATTCATTTAAAAAAAAGGTGTTGGTAATTGTCAAGTCCATTGTGTGTGTAGTGATGCCCATCTTAGTAACATTGTGGGTGTGCAATCCTACAATTCTGTATGTTACATAAAGGGAGTACAAGAGGATGTGTTATTGATTGTAGTCTATGAGAATGTTGCATACATTTTAACACATTAAGATCAGAATATTCGTCATGAAGAACTTAGTAGGCGATTTTGTTCAACATCATATTGATGGATAGTATTGTTCGTATTTTGCTATATTTGTAATGCTTTTGTAAATAATTGTAATTTACAAAAATGTGTTGTGAAAAAATATATATCTTGCCAAGTAACACATTATTCCTTGAGTTCATAAAAAAGAAATGACTGATTTTGTTTTTAAATACTTGAAAATAAGTTGCTTGGAAATAGTATGTGTCAGCTATCTACAGAAAAAAATTGAGGATGTATATGTACATTATTTTATGCAAACACTTGAATGTGTCACCTGAATGGTGGGGGAAAGCGCCTATAAATAGGTAGAGGTCAATGGGAGGGAGTTAGGAGGGGTAAAATCTTCTCATTAGCTGGGGGTAATGGGGCATGCAGCGGGGGTACTGTCTCAGTGGTGGTGAAGCTTAACCATTTTAGGTACTGTATTAAGAGGATTAAGTTAATTGATTTTAAGATGTAATTCCAGAAATAGAAAACTTTTGACCTATTTGGTGCTGTGTCTAGCAAGGATTGTGAATCCAATGATTACTATCCCAGACACCCATACCTAGCCTATGTTATTTCTGCAGACATACAGTTTATTGATACTGTAATACTGTTACTGTATATCTGTAAAAATGACAATAAAATACAAAAATGAATTCAATAATGCAACATAATATGATTAAATATAAAATAAAGTCTTATTAAATATTACTGTGTACTGGCCAGTTACATCTGTAAGTAGACCAATGGAAATCCACAACTAACACTACTGAGTCAGACTAAATATAGTCATTTTCAATATATTAGTGCTACAGGAAAAGAGAAGTTTAAGTCATTAGTTCTGTGTGCAAATGACCATTTGCATGTTGAAGAATACGCTTCGGAAAGGAGCAGAGGCTATCTGATGATATACTTGCCTTAGAAGAACCCTAACAACCAAAAGTGTATCAGACAACGTCACATTCTGCTTCAGTGTGCATTAGAGTAATCCCAATTTGTCTCCTGACCAGTGTACCACCAGATCATAAGATGAAAATAGGCAATCCACAAGTTTTCTGACACAATCATTTACATCTAAGGAATTAGTGTATTGTAGTAATTTTCAATATACTAGGTCTAGAGTGAAATTTGTGCTCAAAAGTAGCAATATGTGCTTAAAAAATGTTTTCAAATGCTAATCTCCGAAGTACAATACACTAATTTTCTGAATACTGTAGTGTATTGAAAATGTTGAAACTAAAAATGAAAATTTTTGATGTATACATAATAATAGTCTTGTAAACTGATATTATGGAGTGGCACTTTATGTAATGAGAATTACTGTAAAAAAAGACAAAAGAATCCTGTTTTTCAATTCTATCACTACTCTCCTTTGTATCATCTGTAGAGCTAAAATGCTAGTTACAATAGTGCACAATATTTCAGTCTTGTGTGCATTACAGTAAATCCCAATATTTTTCTCCAGATCACAGATATTCCCAGTTTGATCCACCGCTTTTAAGCACTCCAATGAACCAGAAAGTTTGTGTTGTCCAAACCTGATTAACTAAAAACTTAAGAGAGGACTTGAATCTTCAATTATGTTTAGCCTAATAATGGTTACAACTTTACCAGCCAAAATGCATGGAGAGTGAAGGTCAGAGGTAAATCCTAGAATAAGGCCTCCTGGCCTTGGCTTCCTCTGTAAGAAAGTCCTAACAGGCCCAATTTTTTGGTTGTATATTAAAAAAAACATACATATTGTTTATGTATGTATTTCCTTCCTTGTGCACTCCTTTGCTCAATCTGCACTGGAAACAAATCACACTTCTCAGTAGTACTATTTACATAAAGCAGATATTTATTTACACTTTGGTACAAACTTGAGGGTTCACCTCAATGACATTGTCAATCAAAGGCTGTCATGATTATTGACAATCATCAAATTTCTATCTAGCAATTTTCTATTGTGTCTCATAATTTAAAAAGGGATCGAGAGCCATTTAAATTTCAAATTTATGGTCATAAGAAAGTGCACTAGATCTTTTCAATGTTCTATATAAATATTCAGAACTTCTTGTGTATAATGTGACCTGTAAACTGGCAAGACAGTACTGATCAAGGTACGCATACACAGTATGTTCGGTCATCGAGTGCACTGTCTTTGATGCTACCGGTCAACACAGTATGTTCGGTCATCGAGTGCACTGTCTTTGATGCTACTGTAAGTTCGATGCTCCTCTACATGCCACTACATAGATAAGAAATTCTCATACTATATTCAGAACCATTCCAAGACTAAGGATATATATCTGAGTTGCAATCTTCAAAGTTACAAACTACAGTCTACAGCATTTCAGCTGTATCTACTACAATTATCACATTCCTTCCTGAGAATTGCATAAGCAGCATGCACAATGTTGGAACCAGGTGAGGGGGGCTGTAACAGTATGATTAAACTGTGTACCAATTCCATTAATAAACTGTTCTGAAATGGCCAACATGCTTCTAGTTTTCCCCTTGTTTTCAAAATGCTTGATTTCCTTCCTGTGCCCGAGGGTCCCACTTGTTTCCTTCCCTGTGCCAAGGGTAGTCCCCTTCCTGTGCATAGTATAGTCCCTTTCATGTTGTGACACATCATTCTTGAACAACAAAAAGTAAATTCATTTTCTTTGTTGTCATTGCTTGCCCTGTACTTGTGCCTTCGTCATCATTATTTGGAAAACGTATTACTCCTGGAAAGAAAAAAAAAAATCATTGAGTTTAGCAAATGCCAATAATGATAATATTACTGTAATTGTATTCTAGGAGCAAGGCATTCCAGCAAAGCAATGACTCATGATACAGTCAAACCCATTCAATGGTATGAACAATTTTTTGAAAGTAGACGAATAAGCAATTAGAATAGTTGCTTATCATTAACAAATGGGAAATTATTTATACGAAGGTTAGATTAATGCAAGAAAAATAAAAATAACATTTGTAGTTACAGTGATGATGTTGCAATTGACTTATAATAATGATATAAAGATAACTGTTTATCTTTTCTCATTATTCAACTGTAGGTCAATGAGCTCAAAAACTGAATATCAGAACTAGGATCAGTTAGGAACCAAACAGCATAAAGGTCTTACCTGAGGGTGTCATCATCCGCAGAATTTCCGGGTTTCCTTCCACTACTTCCATCACACGTTCACTACTGGAACTTCCAGAATCAGATTCTTTGAGTGGAACGAATAAATAGATTAAGAATAAAACAATGTTAAATTAGATACAACATCTAGAGCACAGGTGGGCCAAGTGCAGCCGGACTGATTTTTTGCGGCCCAAGAAGATAAATTAAAAAACCTAAGTGTGAGGCTAGAAAACACCTTGTTTTTTATGGCCCGACACTGTAAAGTAATATTAATACTGAGAATAAAGTGGTATAAAAGCAGTGCATGGAGGTTTTCGGAAGCACATTGGAAACATCAAAGTTTGGGTGCGGCCTTCTGTGTCAATTTGGCTCTCCCAACAAAATGTTTATGCCCACCCGTGATCCACAGTATAAAACCTTCATAGTTTAACCATCTAGAGTATATATGCAAATATGATAGGCATCTGTTAATTTTCAAGCAAAATATTTTCTACTTTTATTTTTTAGTCTTTGATTTTCATCTTTATATTAACTTATTTGTTATTTACTTTTTGTATACCAACCCGTAGCACTTTCTACATCCGAAACACTTGAAGAACTTTCTTTAATGACAGGCACAATACGGTTCTTGTTGAAAGCAAAACTTTTTATATGCTTCCAATTTTTCCAGTTATCATCTCTGCACCACATATAGAGTCCACTGCCCACAATGAAAAATAAGAATGCCAACTGAAAAACAAACAAAATATTTATTGGAGAACTTAAGAAAAGCCCTACAGTGAGGGCAAGAAATAAAAGTAGGTAGGTGGACAAAGTTTACTACTTACCGCTATGATACGTAATGACCGGTAGAAGCTGATTTGTAAGCCATGTACTTTGACAATGAATTGCATTTTGTAGCCGCAATAGGTTGATTCTCTTCCGACATCCCTTCAAAATAAATGCAAAATGTTTACTCAGAAAACTGATCAGTGTAAAAGAAACATGAAAACCATATTATAATGCCTCACTATAATTATTGGAATAATAATTGTGCATTAGTATGTCCATGTGATGTAGTGTAAAACTCTATTGTACAGTAATAGCATTTTAAAATCTAATAACGAAAACTCTATAAAGCTGGCATCACACGGTCAAATTAGTACACAAATTTTGGTTGAGTCTTTCATTTTGACAGGAGTATGTAGACACATGATATTTCCTTGCCACACTAATTGATTTTTGAAAAATAACTTGTCAACTCGTAGAAACTTTAGGGACAATCTAAATAAGGATATACTGATACAGGATCTATTCCTATGCAGGTCACTACCATTCCCAAAGGTGTATACTTTCTGTGATTGGCTGATGATTTCCAGATGTCCTCAAAATTTGAAGAAAATAGAACATGTTCTATACTCTTCAGTTCTTTACCTATCACTCTGAATACCCAAGGGGACCACAGGTTAAAGCAAAGGTCGCAGTAAAATCACAGACTTGGGAATCCCTATTAATCATTTTTACCCTGTATGGATATTTCAAGACACAAACTGACCGTGTGACGCGAGCTTGAGTCAGTCTTACCAGTTTGAAATCTCAATGAGAAAGAAGTACTCGGGGGACCAAGGAAAGTTGGTGGGAACGTTGGCGCATGGGGAACCATCTTGGCACTGCCACAGGATGCCATTGTATTCCGATGAGAAGACGGCAATGGACTTATTCCCACGGCTTTCCTCATTTAAAGGCATCCATATTAGTGATCCGATGCTGGAAGAGACCAATGCAATTTTTAGATAACCTCAAAGATCTTATAATTACAGCGCTCTCCACAATTTATGTGTAACAAATAGAAGCGTCGATGTTCAGTAAAAGTAATCATTTTTTAAAGAGGGCATCCTAGTTGTTACCATGGTCGTTACAGAATTTGCATGCAGATGAGCTTTCATTAGTTAACAATCTCTGATGTCAAAGTAAAAATATTAAATTGCCAATTAAAACAAGGTTATTGAGATTGCCAATCTCTTTCTTTATGGTGCTTTCAAGTTATTAGGATTGGACAAATCTTAATTTCAATAACTTTCTACCAAACACTTACTTTTCTTGTGCATTGTATAGTTGAATTTCCTCTTCGCTGAAGATTGTGATGTCATCAATAGAATTCTCTGAGCCACCAATCACAGTAAGTGTATAGAGACTAGAAAAATTGTTAGCAACTCCTGTTGTCAGATCAACTAATTTAAACACAGGATGAAATGCTAAAAAAAAAAAATAAACAAAAATGCTTTTTTAAGACTAAATAAATCTATATATATGAGGAATTTTTAACTCACCAAGACAGAAAATAGTCATTTTGAAGACTAGTTTCCAAAGCAGTAGTTCACCCTACTACCTAGATTGAACCGCTGAGCAAGCACGCATGGCATTAATGACACGATTCGTGGCTTTTATCCAATTTCACAAAATGTCAAATAATTGGCCATTCAATGAAATATGTTTGAACTACATTTTTTCATTTAATTCCATGAGTTCTAGAAGTTCTCAAACTCATTTGTTATTCATTTATTCAGTTATCTCTTTTACATACTTATTTGCATTTAGTTGGTATTCTGCATAGGTGCACAGTTGTTGTTCTTTGTTTTATTCAGTTGCAGTTCATTTGTGCAAGTGAACAGACTGCTTTGTAAATCCATGATTATTTTGTTACCAGCTTAAATCTTACAAGTATATTTTATTCAGGATTATTTACTTTGGACTTTATTTACCTTGAGTTGGATCATTACAGGAATGGAAGCGAGTTACAGTACGGTTTTCTTTACTTGTATTTAATTATGGTGTGTGCTGCATTATACCTTCATTTATTTAGAATATAGCTTCTGTATTTATGGACCTGTGTAATATTTTCCATTTTTGTGTGTATACAACAATTGAACAGATATCTTACTGTGACCGTAGTAGAAACAATGCATTTCTGGTTGAGGGTGCGGACAGTCGTATGGAGTCTGCCGTGTCTCCACCAAGTAATCCAAGGTCGAGGCGACGTCAAATACAAGTTTCACAGCAGGAGGGCAGCCTAACATCACAGACATACTGTATGTTCCCTGTCAAATGTCAAGAGCATATACTAGTAGTTGTTTATTTCACTCTTACAAAATGACAGTGAACTTGTGCTATAAACTATACATGTTAGAATAAAAGTAAATCATTTGATATATATGTTAAGCTGCCTTCTGATAAATCTAAATTCCTAAATCTTACAATTTATTATTACCAAGTTTATACCAGCTTTTGATTTCTTTAATGCGATGCTCTGGAAAAGACAGTTTTAGTGTACTTGAGATGGTCAAATAATAGATATATTAGCAATAAAGCAGGCCTCCTCACTATCTTTCATTATGAGGATTGGGGGAAATTACCTACTGAATGTGACCTTTATATTATTATATTCTAATCCTTGGTGTTCTTGTTTTGTGTTTTCTTTCTTTTATCTTGAGACTGGGTAAAAGACTGCATAGAAAAATTGCAATGTAGTATACGCTACAGTAATGGCAGACCATTACATAACATTACTGTGTGTATATATTATACGTACCTGTGGTGCATCGTCAACATGGAATGGATCTATGCATTTAAAATTGCTGTTCCAGACTTGCAGGAGCATGGTAATGGGATGAAGGTGTTCCCCTGGTTCCTCCTGGTGCTCTAGCTTACCTTGCTCTATCAATGTTACCTTCAAAGAGGGAAATGTATCTGATAGAATTTTGACAGTCTACATTGTTTGAATGCACATAATGTAATGTAGTTTGATTTATATAGTGCTTTAAAGCTCTATACATGAGTCTCAAAGCGGTCGAGGTGTGTACTAGCTCGTACAGTAACTTGTTTCTCCCCTAAGGGTCTCTTCATGTCTGAGCTACCCCCCAACAGGGGCTGTATGGACCAGTACACCAGGGTAGCCCCCTGCTCGTCATGAAAAATGTTCTGTGTTCTTTTAAGTGCACAAAAGCCAAACTGTGTACACTGGGCCTATGGTTTATAGTCCTTATCCGAGAAGACTTGTTCCACCACCAGAACCACAGCACTGATTATACGTACCTCATATTTAACTGTGTTGTTAACATATGAAACATGCTTCTGGGTATGAATGTGCAAAAGCGAGTAACTCGACAACAACACTGAAACACGCAGATGCTCTAAGTTGCGAAATGCTGACAACTCTACAAGTACAAAAAATTGAATACAGATATATACAGGATTATATAATTTACATCTAAAGAGTAGTTTTACACCATCAAATTTTTTCCCCTTTTTTCATTGTCAAATCATTCAGCACAACTGAACCAATGTTACAAACATGATGATGTCATATTACACACAAATATGGACATATCAAATATATTTGTCACTAGATGTAGTATAATAATCAAAAACTACACATTTTCGTTAACAGCTTACCTGTGCTATCAATTGCCAATATCAAAGAAAATGTATAAATTCCATGCAAATCTATATAAATCTGTCTAGGCAGCTGGTTATACAGCATGTATCCTGTATCATAAACTTTTTCATATTCAGTTGCTGAGACATGAACTCCAGAGGTCAGCAGTTTGTTACGGTACATGTAGTCGTAGTACAGTATGTGGTCTTCCCTCCTCCTGTGCCATTTTGCGAATGGATCATGGTCAGTGTGGGAATACGCCTGGAATAAAATTAAAATAATGAAATATTGTCGAATACGTAATAAAAATATTTTAACCACCTGGCTACAGCTTCACTGAACTTCACGGCTACAGGACCAACATATACAAAAGGATCAATACAATCTTGTATATTTTGATTTTTGCCACTTAAATTATTTACTAACAATAATCATTATATCCAATGGAAATAAGTTTAATTTGAAATATTTTTGGGTTATGCCTTAGTTCATTTAGATAATGTTGTACATCATTGTATGAAATCTGTCTCGTTTATCTGTTGTACTTTAAATCTGAAAGAACTGAACACATTGAACTGAACTGTAGTTGACTCTCATTCAGCCTCTTCATCCTGCGCAAAGATCACCTTGTCACTTATTCGCTTTGTAAATAGGCTTTGTTAACTTTTGTATGTTTCAATTATCTTCAATCTTATAAATTGAATTATTGTCATCATCATTGACAAAATCATAAAACTTGTGTAATAAGATGGTTTTTGAGGTAAAACCACTGGTTGGTTGTCTCAACGTTTCGGAAAGACTGCTCTGATCGTCAGAGCAATCTGACAGAAACGTCGAGACAACCAACCAGTGGTTTTACCTCAACATTTTGTTATTGATACTCGCCATGCAAACATTTAAAATATGTTTCATCATCATATTTAAGAACCTAGCTAAATAATATCAATTTTTTTCGGAATATGTAAATGGCAGGTGAATCCCAATGGTAATAGGAGTTCATTTTCCTTTACAACCTACCATCTCTATCTTGGAGTAAAAAGAAATATATTAAATAAATTAAATGTACACATATAATTAAAAAGATAAAAAAACTGTACCAACCTGCAGAAGATCCTGTTCGTTCTGAGAGATCATTTGTTGTACAATACCTTGATAGACTTTTAGTGAATTGGCAGTGTGAACTTGGCTTGCCCACGTCAGGTGTGGGGTGTTGAAAAGGAACCATTCTAATCGTTCATAACTTGCACTATCATGGTATTCAAACCAATGCTCTGTGAAAGGGCACCGGCTCTGCACAAACATAGTCATGTTTTTTGACCTGAAATATTGAAATATTTTATTATTTAGGACTTATATAGTGCCTTTCCTTTAGGTTACAAAGTGCTTTGTTCTCATTTGGTCCACATGCTTTAAGTGTTGCTGCCATATTAGTGCAGTAGCAGGCAATCACTTTTATATATCACATTAGTGTTGTTTGTGAATCTGGTGTTGTATTTTAATGCCTTTTTCTGTAATTTTAATGTATTTTAAAATTTATAATTGTAAATGAAATATACTCAATATATTTTCGGAATAAAAATTGAATTGAATTTGAATCCCCCTGTGTACCAATTTATATTCCTTGGTGGAGAGAACCAACACAGATAAAGTGCCTTGCTCAAGGACACAAGTGAAGTGCACAGCTAAAGGATTGAAACCAAACTGTTCCCACTGTCAAACCGATTCACTATGATCATGGAAAGCAATTATGCAATGCTGAGCTTGAAAAAATATATCAGGACACATAAATGCCATGAGGGAGAAAAGCGGCTTACCTATCAATTGAATTGATTTCAAAATTTGTAAGGAACATGTGATGTTGCAGTATTTTGCCTACTGGAACAATGTGAGGTTCTAGGTGCAAAATTCCATCTTCTTCAAACAGAATCAACTAGAAGCAAAGCAGAAAAAGTATCACTTCATGGACTGTAATGCACCACAAATTTCTCTCATCTGATTGGCTAAACAGAGGGGTCAGCTGATTAGTACTGAACGCACTAAAGATTTAAACTTCAAGTTAACAATGCAAGCATGTGCCTATATGATATTAACAACTAAGTAGTTTATTTGAAGTTCCTTACCTCTTGTAACACAGTCTCAGAATCATAGAACACTGATACAGTGGATGCTTCCTCCCAGAATTCATAGCTATGTTCATTTGTTGGTAGAGAGTGAAGCAACGACCAACCAGCACTTGGTCTTAGTCTTACCAGGGACACGGTGTCACCAGTCAATCCATACCATATCTATACAACAGAGGAAAATAAATCATATAATAATGAATGGCTAAATATTATGATAAAAGTGTAAGTTTTATTTATAAAGCTTAACCAAATTTATATCAATTGCTTACTTTACACATTTTAGTTAGTTATTAGTGAGAAAATATGAACTTGCCATTTAACCATAGATGCACAGACAATAAAATTCAAATAATTTCTGAATAGAGCCTTCTAGGTTATTAAGCATAGTGACAAAAACAGTAAGCCGATCTATAAACAAACATCAACAAAAATCAAAGAATGTAAACACCAAAGAAAACAATGTCAAAGATATATTGTAGCAAAAAACAACCACCAAATACACACTGGATTAAAATTCAACTTAACACTATTGAACAAACTAATTTTAAAAACATGGGAGTAACAATGTTTTATTAAACTCAATATAACAATTTTTAAATATGCAAATCAACCAACTGCTGTTGTCTGCAGTTAGAGTACTACTCTTGGATACCTCGTTCAACTGGTTCAACATTGCAAAATGTGGCGTATTCGGAGAACTAATGAATAAGCTGATATTTGCAGTGGAGGTATACTGGTGCAGCTGTGAAATGGATCTACCTAGGTCATTGCTACAACCAAACACAAAACATACAATTTGTTACAATACTGTTTATATTTTGATTATACATATTCATCTCTATTAAATGCTAGATTGAGTATCCCTAACTTGGGTGTGAATGTTCAGACATTAGGCAACTGGGAAGTTTAATGCATTTGGGTGGCTCTATTTGGCTGTATTAAGCTTATCTGGTTTCCTTAGTTTCCTCTTTCATAATTTGACTTTCTTTTGAAGAAGCGCCATGAATGTTTCTTTTAAACGAGTCCAGTCAAGTGGCCAAGCGGTAAGGTAGGGGCAGCGCTAACTATAGCCTTAACATCGGTGCTGGTTTGAGCCGTTCCTCGCCCAGAGTTTGGTTGGTAGAACCAGGTCTTCTCGGATAAGGACTTAAAATGGAGGTCCAGTGTATACATGTGGCTTGTGTACGTAATTTAAAGAACACATTGCATCTTTTGGAAGAGTAGGGGGTTACCCCGATTTTATCGTTCATTTCAGCCATTCCTTGTGGAATGATGTGAACTATAAGCAGCTCCTTACGCCGGCTAGGATCATGACCATATATAGGCATATCATGACTATATATGGGCATACAACAGTTTTTTTTAATTTGATAGTGTGGACAAAACATTAGTAAAGTCCAATGATGTTACCCTGGATACAAAGTCTTATTTAAGGTGTATTGTTGCACCCTGTAATACATGATTTTACTTGCCGTAAAATGTGAAGTAAGAAAAACAACAGAAACAGGAGATGGACAATTTACCTGTGAAGAATCACGTTGCCCCAGACAAAGAGATGAGGTGACTGATATGTAGTGAGACTTGCATCTTGCAAATACAAGTTGGTAGAACCATGCAAGTCTATACTACTCTCAACCACAGGTACTATCGTCATCATTGAGTCTGTAAAGTAGGGTGAGAGGTAGTACAATACTGTGTAATCATAAAATTATTGAAGTAAATAAAATTTGATTTATTTTTTACAATTAGATACATTAGATTATTCATTACTAACATGGTCTGGGTGTTATGCTCTTTTCCCCCCAGTTTTTAAATATTCAAAAATCTGAATTTAGTAAGTTCAATTTATTCACATAAATCGGTGAAGAGAGTAAAAAATAGCTAGCGTTAATCTAAGTTTAACTCCTAATCTAACGTAACAGTACATAAAAATTTCCTCAAATAATTTAACATAACAGTTTTAAACTACTCTTAGTAGCTATTCCCAATTTTTCTTCAAACAATCCTTCAGTGTATAGAATATTCATTTGTGCAACATATCAAAACATTTTTTCCTCCGGAAAGTCTTTAACTCTTCTATGGACTTGACTGTAAACTTTTTAGAAAGTACATTTAAATTTGCCTCATTTATGCTTGTTTGGTGGTATTAATATTTATATATTTTTGTCTGGTACATCCATCGATGACAAACCAGATGATAATAATGAAGAAGTTTAATATCTTACCTTTCATTTGAATGACTGAATAATTTGAGGATGACTTAATTAGAAATAAGTACAAATTGTCTTCAGTTCCAGACAGACCTGCTGAAACCACTGAGCAATCAGAACCTTCAGAATGTGATAAATTTTTATATATTACTGTTTATAATATATTCAGGTATATTTATTTTTTTAAAGCAGTAAATATAACAGTCCAAAGGTTTAAATTTTTTCATTTTAATTAAAAGACAAGTCATCGCATTATAATAGTTTTTAAAATGCCCTTCATATCATTACCACGTTCAATGGATTACTCAGCCCCTAGAGGATTTCATTAATATTTACTGCTAGTAGTCAAGTGCATTGGGGTGAAAGCTCCTCATGTACCCACTTACACTCCCAAGCAAATGCTCCCCAGCAAGGTTTTAAACCAGCAATTATTTGACACATCTTAGTATGGCATAGAGGAACATCAAACAACTACCAGGCTCCGATGTTATATTTATTCTTAAGATTTTTACAACCAAGTTCAGAGAAAATAAGGATATGAACACTGATAAAAAATAATTTTATGGACTGAAAGGGGAAGGAAATGTATTGGTTTTCTGGACTACCTAAAAGATGGAAGCTCATACCAAACGTTAAAAGATGAACAGAATTGTTGAAGGTTGTAGTTATGGTGGGTGTGTTCAACCAGTCTTGAGGTTTTCCACTTATTCTAAAGCTAATTTCATGGCCCTCCATCCAACCCTTATTAACCAACTTTTAAATTCTTAAAATCCATTCTGATTATATAGAGTTTATTGATGTTATCACCTACCCACCCTTAAAATGTATATCACCCACCCTTAGTTTTCTACAGCTACAACCCTGACTGTTTCGAAAAACTGGATGCCTAGGGACCTGCCAACTAGAGGCAAGGCAGCATAAAGTAAACTAGAACCATATCAAAATATAGATGAATAGTTACCTCCATGTAGTTGGCATGGGTCGTGTCCATTGGCATCATGCACTCTTTCAAATTGTAAAGCTTCACCTGTTAGATGCAATTTAATTTATAAGTATCAACATGTTAAAATATTTTATTCTGGTAAATAGTGATAAAAAAAAAAAATTCATTATAATGTTACATTAAATAATGAATTTTATATGACATGACAATTATACGTAATATACACAAAACACAATACATAAATTATTAATTGATAACAAATAATGATAACAAGATATCATATTATATTATTTTTATTACATAATATCAATTTAAGGTAAATGTTTGTTTACAAAATTGTCTACAAGCTCTATCAACCAACATTGATAGAAAAGATACAAATTATTCTTTTTAAGAAATTTTGGATACTTTTGTAAACTTACCAAACATTAACGTCGCATCAAACACCTGATTATCAGTACTGACAGCCAACACATGAGTGACGCTATTAAATGCGTACTCTACTACCACCATCTTCTTGTAGCACCGTGCTGGCAGATTAAGTTGACGAGTTGGCAATTCCACCATCTTCAGAGTCTCGTAACTAGCAAATACTTCAAAGATACCTGCAGCTGTGTTGAACAACAGTCGGTCGAGGAGTGTTGCGATACTCTTAACGTGTGCGGATGAATATGGACAGACAAAGTCTTGTGAATTTAACCGGATCTAGTATACAACAGAAACAATGTAAATAAATAAATAAGATGTACAGTGAACTTCTAAAATAATATTGGTGATAAGGAGTCCAATTGATGGTTTCTTGTTGATTCAAATACAGGTCTCCATCTGATTAAAGACCACCTCCTATTTAAAACTAATTTTCTGTGGTCCCACATTAACAAAACTGTCTTTTATTTTTATTATTCTAATTAGAAACCAAAGCTGCTAAAGATCATGAAAACCCCGGTCACAAAAGTGGTCTTCAATTGGCGGGAGACCTGTATATGTACTACAGTATTTTATACTGTACACTATACACTATCTTTTAATTGAAAATAAACAAATAGAAAAATTTGTTTCAAACATAACTTATAAATAATGTTCATATATTCATGCATATGTTCTAAAATTGGCCAGCAGTCAATTCAATGGTTCTGGTAGTACTTCAAATATCTTTAACTTCAGTGCAAAATGTGCCTGTTTAGTGCATCATTGCTAGTTGACATGTATAATACTTTTCAATAATTGAGGATTTCCTTGATTTAATATCGTTGGAAAAACTCATATAAAATGTTTGCTGTTATTTTAATTTTTTTCTCTTTTCTTAAGTTTTTCATACCTCCATTGTCAATATTGTTTTAAATCCATCTTCAGTTAAAATCATTTGATGAGAGTTTTCAAAGCCACCAACAAGTAGACTTGCTGTTGACAAAGTCACGGTCTGTATAGCGTAGTGATGATGACTTGACTGCAACTGTCGGAGTAGCATGTGAGTTGAGTTTTCATCACGAAAGAAAATAGGGCCTTGCTCATGATCAGGATAATACCCATTGAGATATACAACCAGACTATAAGAAGGAAAACAAAGCAATGAAATTAAAAATATTTTCACGGTTCAAATTTGGCCTTTCAGAATTGGAAAAAACAAGAATAAATAAAATATGGCACCCACAACCTCCAGATAACTAGCCTGGTGTTAAACCACTACACCACTGAGCTTGCGCTTTGTGACTAGTATTGAATCCAATCCCAAGTAATAGCAGGTATTGCAAATGCTATTTTGACATGCGTTTGTATCAGAAAAATATCGTAGGAGTGATGATTTGCCCTACGTGACGTGTCATCGTACCGTACTGAATACTCAGTTTTAATGAAAAATAATTTATGCCAGGTAATGTTTGTGTAATAGCCATATCAAATAAAGAAATGATTAATTTTTACCTGTCTGGGACAATAGTATCATGGCCAGGTAAGTCTATTTTTACTTGCATCTTAGTGGTATGATAAAGAAACGGCAGCGGTACAATCCACGATGGCTGACACATCTCAAAATCACAATCTCCAAATTCGAGGTAGGCCAGATCGACCAATGCCCCATGTTCTACGTTGTACAAAATGCTGGAGAGATGGCCTGTGATGTGGTTTGAATCGTAGGTAATTGTAACTTTTGGAGACAGCCCTTGCTGAGCGACTGTTCTAGCTTTACTTGAAGAAATAGTTTGTCCACAGGTAATTTGTAGACGTATGTAATAAGGAAATGCTTTGTACACCTCCTGCAAAAAGAAATGCAATTAAATATATAAATATGCTAGATAGGTTTTATGTGATTATCATACATTTTTGTTTTTAATATCTTGGTATAATGGACCTGATGTTACCGTCAATATGTAATTTATAGAGATTTAATATTTTTCTTATAGTATTTATGGGTCCGGGCAAGGCGGACCAAAGAACCTCAATGCTGTTCTTCTTCTTGTTACCAGAACATTAAAAGCGTCCAGCATCACCAGTTTTGAACAGACATGCAGAAAATTTTGTACACATTTCCAACAAACGTTCATGACCCTTTTTTTGAAGTTTGACACCAGGGTGCCCCATACACCTACAAAACCAAATAGAGGTTTCAGCAAGGACTGGTACTGTACGTTACTACCATTACCACTAATAGGACACGTCGCATGGATGGTAGGTTGGTTAGCGATGTGTTTCAAGAAAATTAGGAAACCAACAATCGTGAGTTCGTAAGTTTGTATTTAACTTTTAATTTTTTATTTTTTTCAATAAATCATAGATAGTAATTTTTAAATTAAAATTTACATATATTTACAATACCTGGTATAAAGGTTGCATAGTTTTAACTTCAAATTGGTTTTCCAGGAAATTTTGTAATGACACTAACTCCACGTCATCATGTATTACAGATGTCTGCCTGAATGGTTCTTCAAATGTTGTTACATCAACCAGCCACGAGCAATGCTGGCTATTAACAAGCAGCAAGTCTATCGCTATAAAAATGATAGTGACTACTTGGCTATACCACTGTGGAAGCATGGTAATGAATGTGCCTGACACGACAGAATATCCAGCCTGAAATACAATACACATTCAATTTACTGTACATGCCTGCTTAGATTTTCACGTAGCCTTATAAATTATAATCAACTTTTCAATGAATGTTAAAAACAAATACTGCCTATAAAAGATGGGTACTTCGCAAATCCTTATTCAGGAAACACGCGAAAGCGTCAGGGGTGTTGAGCATTGATATGAAATTGAGCATAGATCTCAACATGACCCCAAGAAAGACCCTGTGAACAACTGCTTCAAGTAGGGTGTTTAAATATATTATTTAAAATTTACATTTTAAGTTAGTTATTATTCATGTTATTTTTTAACTACTTTTAAAATTATAATGCCCTTAATAGGCAATTACAACATGTAAATTTAACTTTAACAAAACGGCAATGATAACTACCAAAATGGCAACAGACCAAAACGGCAATTTGCAGACCAAAACAGCAAAGGAGTGAAATCAATGCCAAGAGCAAGAGTCGTCCAGCGGGGCCCGAGGTTTATAATCTTCCGATCTTCTTTGCTTCATTTTGTCTGTATTTTAAATTTTTTTTATTTGAATGTCTACTGCTTTAATATTGTGTTTCCCCCAAGCCTTTTACTATTGAATTTGTATGTTGTATTGTTATTAGGCCTATCAAAAATATTATTATCCCCACTAGAAGATATGTTTTCGTTTTGTGTGTTTGTGTGTGTAACGCTTTGCTGTTTCAGTGCTCTTAGAAATGATCTAACATTATAAAAAGTCAATAAATTAGAGACTTGTGGCAACTTTAATGAATCTTTAAATTTTACCCCAAGAACCAAATCCCATATTTCTATTTCCATAATACTTCCATTTCAACACCAATACATTGCATGCATTTTGTTTGTCAGCTATAAAGTAAAATGTGTTAGTATGTTAAATCAGAACATGTAAGGAATTGGCAGGTGTACAACTGAAGTGTACAACTGATACAATGGAAAACATTTTCGGAAAATGAAGTGATTATATTTTGGTGCTGATAGATATGCACCCTTCAAAGGGTGGAGCGAAATGAGTTAGGGTGGTAGTGGTAGAAGTAAATTAGGAACTACTTTTTTGGGAGGTTTATTTTATAGAAAGGGTTTTGCGGTGGGCGGAGATATGCTCCTACTGAGTGCTCTTGTTATTATTATTATTATTACTATTATTACTTTTATTATTGTTATTAGTAATTTTATTATTTTTATTATTATTGTTGTTGTTGTTATTTTACATTTTTTACTTTTATGACATAAATGGTTTTAGCTTCATTTTTGTTGTATTTCAAGTTTTTCATATATTAAAATTGTTTAAGTATTTAGTCGTACATTTTCATGTTTATAACTGGTTTTATGTAGGACCACATTGGAAATAAGTTTTACTTTCATAGGCCATCTTTGCATCATCTATTTTTAGGTTATATTTGATTGTCCTGCCTTGTGCAAATTTTATCTGTTTTGTACAATATTTTGATGACGTGAAATAAACTGAACTGATGATACACCAAAATAAATATTGAATCAGAATGAGCTGTTAATCTTATTTGAGTTGCAAGTACCTTTTAATGTTTTTATATTAGTCACAGTTAAAATAAAACCATCAAATCGAGGATGGACTGGATTAGCAATTAATCAGTATGCCATTCTGAAAGTGTTGCGTTTTGGTTTATTGCCATTTAGACGTCTGTATTGCCATTTTGGTCCATTGCCGTTCTGGTAAAGAAGTGTTGCTGTTTTGCTTTATTACTGCCATTTTGACTTACTGCCGTTTTGACTAGAAAACGCATAGCCTACGCCCTACTAGGCCTAACTTCTTAGACAGTAGTAGAGTAAACAGTAGTAGCCTGGTTTATTGCCATTTTGACTAGAAAGCGCATAAGCCTACCTAGGCCCTCTAGTTAGGCCTACTTTCTTAGACAGTAGTAGTAGTACTAGTAGTACTAGTCAAAAGACACCTCAGCATCATCCATGCCATGATGGATGTATGGCCTGTAGTGTACTCTGATAGTATCAATATTCAAGAACTCCTAGCTACCCTGCAAACCGCCCACTTCCTAATTTAATTCCTACATACCTGACCTGACACCGACCTACGTGCGACGACAACCTCAGAAGATGTTTGCACGAGACAGCACAGATACAGATAGAAGGAAGCCTGGGTGCGAAGGCCTCATTCATTCATTCACTCACTCACGCGAAAAGTAGGCCTAGCCTAGGCTTTTAGCCTAACTACCTACGCTAGGCCTAGCCTAGCTATGCTAGTAGTAGGGTAGGCCTAGGCTAAGCCTAACCCTAACTTCCTTATCAAAAATTGGGTTAGTTTCATATAATTAATTCCTTATTATTACCTCCCAACTGAGTCAATTACTACTTATTTAAATTATTATGAAAAGCTCAAGGAACACGTAGCCTACGTAGCATTCCGGGCTCATTTTAACGATTTGTATTTTCCGCCATCTTCTTTCGCGTCATGTTGACCTGCCAACATTATTTGGCATTATGGGTAGGCCTAAATAATGTGTGCGATATTTATAAAAAAAATATATATAATAATAGAAATTTAAATAATACCCACAACTAGATGGTATATAATAGTATTTATTATAACTTAGAAAACTTTGTTTAGATTGTATTACAAAACTAGGGCAAAATGGAATTAATACAGTAAATTTGCATGTATCTTTTCAACATAAAATTTGCGGTCAAAGGTAAACCAGCTTAGGATCCATGCGTCGATCGTGAGGGTCAAGTTGTAGCTTGTGTACTAGGCGGCACGGCCTATATTTTCTCGAACATTCTGACGTATTTATATTATTATTATTACCATAAGAACAAGAGATATTTATCAAATAACTACTAGTTATTATTGTTATATACTAATTACTAAGTCATTTTACTCTTTAAAATGGCAAAATGGGGCGAAGGTGATCCAAGATGGATTGTTGAAGAGAGGGCTGATGCAACGAACGTAAACAACTGGCATTGGTAAGTACTTGGGCCTGGCTACTGTAGGCCTAGCTTAGCTAGTCCACATGGACAATAAACAATAAATTTAAATGTGTTAGGCCTATGTTATTATACAGTATTTACTATGGTTTTGTAATTTATATATTTTTATTTTTGTACTATTTGTT